CTATCAATCTATCTATCTATCTTTCTATCAATCAATCAATCTCTCTACCTATCTATCTATCAATCAATCAATCAATCAATCAATCTATCTATCTTTCTATCAATCAATCTATCCATCTATCTTTCTATCAATCAATCTATCTATCTATCTAGCTATCTATCTATATCTATCTATGTCTGTCTGCCTGTCTCTCTGTCTCTGTCTACCTGTCTACCTGTCTACCTGTCTATCTATCTCTTTATCTATCTACCTATCTATCTGTCTGTCTGTCTGTCTATCTGTCTATCTGTCTTTCTGTCTATCTACCTACCTATCTGCCCTGTGTTTATCTATCTCTCCTGTGTTTATCTATCGACCGCTTGATCGATCAAAGCTATCTTTGAAGCTGGCGAAGCAATTGTGCGAGATTTGCTTCAAAGTAGCAGTTGGCAGTTGTAAAACGAAGCAAGTTTCTGCGAGACTTCCTCACAAAATGGAAGGTCGCGGCCCCAAAACGACGAAATTCTGCGAGACTTCCTCAATGCTCGAAGTTGGCAACATCAAAAACGAAGCAATTCTGCGAGACTTCTTTCAAACATGGAGAATTTAGTGCAGAGCCGATGGCCTCGTACCAATGCATTTAGCGATTTTTTTGGCTCCACCGTATTGTTTTGCCACGAAAAAGTGAGGCCATGCCGTACGAACCTGTCTGACAGGTGCAAACCTCAAAGTCTGATGCTCGAGGTTGCACATATGCAACCCCTCTGAGGAAATTAGCGCCCTGAGCTCCTGCCATCTCTGATGAAGATGTCTCTTTGACTGCGCCTGCCACGCGGCATGCATCTTTGCAGAATCTCTTCAACTGTGACACGCCTGCCGTGGTTTTTGAAAATGCACAAAACGACGCTTGAACGTGCAAAAGCGGTCCGAACGTGGTGTGTTTTTTTTTAGTTCTTTATATTTTCACTTCGAAATGTGCTTCGCACAGCGACGGCCTGAAAATTTTCGACATCTCAACTTCCAAAAGTGGTCCGAACATGTGGTGTTTGTGCCATTTGCTTGTCGATCCTCCGGGGCCACGAAACATTGGAAAAACATAGTGTTTCGCGACTTTTCTACCTTTTCGCGCGCGATCTTCTTTCTTCTTCCTTTGTCTTCTCTGACCTTCTTTCTTCTGCCTTCTCTGACTCTTCCCACCTCTGCTTTTCCAGCTGTCCATATTGCCGGACATTTGACTTCTAAACTTCCTTCGCTTATTTGTAGATATTTATAGCAAGGGGAAACTGCACCGCAGCTCAAATCAAAACTAATCAAAAACATCCTTGCAGCAAGGCAGTTCCCAAGCAACCAGTGCAGCTTGCATCCTCGCTTGGCCATGTCCACTTCCTACTTTCGTCTGAGACGCAAGTGCAAAAACTCCCACGTTTGGATAAAAAACTATGGTACCCTTAAAATTCTTAACTTCATTTCATCGAGGGCCAAGTGCAATATATAGCTGAGGCTGTTCTTCGGAATGCACCCCAATGCGGAGATCAATTTCCGAACTGCTGAGTGCGACAAGGTCTTCGAACTTTTGACCATGCTCGCAGGCGCAGATCTTTTGACTTAAACGGAAACTGGAGGCAACATGTAGTTCATCTTCTTGCCGATTGTTCCAAAATGTTCCAAATCCAACGGACTAGTTTTCCATCCAACAAGAAATGGTGATCACAAAAAGGCTCTCCTATGTCTCTCAGCCTATGTGTTGCTGTAGGATACCTTGGGTTTGACCATGCCAGCATGTGCCAGCGCAGGTGGCTCTGGCGGTGGGGATGGTGATGATGATTCAGCCATGACACCAATGCAAGTTGCGCAGATGACGTGCGACGAGATCTTGGAGGAGGTGAACGAGAAACGATTCCCCACGGATGACGTGAGCCGTGGCATGAACGAGGACGACAAGGGACCCTACCAGTTCGTGTTCCTGCAAGAGTGTGAGTACATGAATGCTTTACTGTACGAGATGGTCAAGGGCCTGCAGGAGGGCTGAGACAATTCGAGATCCAGCGGGGGGGAAGCAATGTTGGCACCGTCAGCTCTCATATCACAGAAACGAGAACTGGACAGAAAAAGGTGACCATTTACATATAGAGGATATTAAAGAGGATTGTGTTCTGTTCCAGTTCCCGTGTTTTCCAGCAGATTTCCACCAAGCCAAGGAGGTTTCAAGTAGCCTCCCATTTCTAGGCCCCAAAGCACGCAGGAGCTTCAGCTAGGCTTCAAGGGTGAATTGACGATGAGCGAGAACATGGCAACTCAGCCAAAAGTGTTGGGAGGTTTGACCCTCGTAGGCTGGGGAGTCACAAGTTCCCCATCTCAGATGGTCAGTTCATGAAGGGGGCAACCCCAATTGACAACTTGAACAGCCACGACGTATATCAATGGTGACACATGGTGACAAATGGACACTGGTCCTTCAATTTTTCCATCTCCCGAAAGGCCCCTCTGCCAGGAAGACATGGCAAAATGCTTGTACTCCGAAAAGTTGCCCATGTGGTGCCTGGACTGCTGATGTGGAGAGAGTGGGAACACGGACGGAGGCCAATGGCATCCCTTCAACAGACCATGCCACGCGGGAAACTTTGGGGTTATGCAAGCTTGGCCCATATTTTTCCATACGGTTACTAGTACCGCATATTTCATCATATTTCCCAATGATTCCAAACATTTCCAAACCCAGGTGGGTGAAATTGGGCTTTGCTTCCACGCGACCTTTGAAGTCATGGCGCGTGAACTTGCAGGAGCCGGATGCTGCGAATGCTGCTATGGCAGGCTAGTGGCAAGGTGTCATGAGTGTATCTAACACACTCGACCTCCCACAAAAAGCCCACTTGCAACGCTTATAACTTATAACGTCTAATTGTAAGTAATAAACAGCTATGATTATAATAAACATAAAAGCCCATTTAAACCACTCATGCTCTATCGTACAACTTATAGCCACATGATACGATGCGTAGTTCAAGGTGGGAAGATCATCCAAGTGTTCAGCAAAGAGGGATACATACAGGGCCATTGCCTTTCGGAAAGTGGGAATTGGAGATGGGAGTAGCCATTGCAGTGTTGCGGTGCATGCTGTAGGAGCGTTATCAGCAATTGGATGATTGGATCAATGACCCGCTGAACATCCCAAAGGCCAGTGGCAGGGTGGCTGGGGACCACATGCAGGAAGGAGACGAGGAGCAGGGGACGGTTTTGTCTTGACCCAATATTTGGACAGGGAGTCTTCAGAGATAGCGAGTTTAGGATGCCAAAAAGTGTGGGACATTGATCGGACAGGTCGTGGACATCTCCAAGCTCTTCAATCCACAGAGTTATTTGACGGCCATCAAGCAGATCTGCTGTCAGAATCAGGGCTTGGAACTGGACAAGTTGCAGGTCTTCACTGAAGTCACCAAGAAGGAACCCAAGCAGATCGAGGGCCCGTGCAAGGATGGCGCCTATGTGTCCGGGATGTTCCTGGAAGGAGCTCGCTGGGATATGACTTCAAATTCATTGGAAGATTCCAAACCCAAGGAGATGTTTACAGCTATGCCAGTCATCACATGCAAAGCAGGTGCTTGGTCTGATATGTTTCCAAGCTCTTGTGGATTATATGGATTGTCCCTGGTAGTCAGGGCAGTCGTTGTGATGGAGTTTCGCCAGGACCTTCCTGGCTTCAGAGTGCTAATACTTCGACAATTTATTTGGCGTTCGATTTTTTCTGAGCCTCATTCTGATTCTGAGGTATGGCAACCGAGAAAGCGGACAAGAACATCTACATTTGCCCCACCTATTGCGTCCCTACGCGACGTCCGTATTTCGTGTTCGCCGCGCAGCTGCGAACCAAAGCTCCCGCAGACAAGTGGGTGCTGGCAGGAGTGGCTTGGCTGGGTAAAACCTGGGTGAAATTGGGTTCATTTTCGGCATTTTTCGGCAATGAATGGAGGAATCTACTATCCAGCTATCTATTTTTTGGGGGGCATCTTCACCAATGTGCCATTTAGATTTCAATTGTCCATGCTCACTTGTGATGACAATCCCAAATGACTTGCATTTTTTTGGCATAGGGTGAAGCGACCAGAAAGACTTCGAGTGGTCAAGTGCATCCAAAAAGTCATGAGTCCTTTCAGTTTTGGCATGCATTCTCAAGCGGTAGCCCAGGTGGGCATGATCTTGGACATCGGACTTTGAACAATGCATGCTGGAAATATGACCGGCCTGCAGCGGTCTGGGGCTTAGTCAGCGGAGTTGTTCAGATGTTCTCTTGATGCGACCCACATTCAGCTCATTGAATTCGTTTCCCGTTAAACAGCGGAGCATGTGGAGCGATGCCCTCCGAGGTCAGTAGAATCGAAATGGGACGGGCTAAGCCCAACCCAGATGGGAGCACAACTGCCTCCCATGAACATAGTTTGCGTCGCTCCATTCGCCGCACTCTTGGAACTAACGCTTCTGAGACAATGAATCCAAAGAAACTATGTTATTTTATATAATGGTTCAGAATAGTTGCTCTCTTGTTGCAGCAAGTTGTTCACGTAGTAAGTCAATGATTTCCTTCGGCGAGTAGTGTCGCGGGTGGTCCAAGAATAGAAAACACTGTCAGAGCTTCAAAAAGTAGCCAAAGACTTGTTCTTCACAGCTGTGCAGTGGCTTTTGAAGCTCTGTACAGTTTTTCCGACCACTCCGAGTTACATAGATTTGAGTGAACAAGCTCCTGCAGGACTGCAACGCGAAGAAAATATGCATCTTTTCCTGATCCGTCCGAAAGCCAGAAATTGGCGACCCGCCCAAAGAGGCTGCCAAATTTGATGGGTTGGCAGATGGCGCATTCCCTTCCAATAGTGGTTGGAAGGCACCTCCTTAATTCACACACACACACATATATATATATAATATAATAACCATATTATAATCATATTAAAACCTAATGGGCTTACTGGGTGATTTTGTACCTTTCCCGTGTTCAATGGATTGCACCGTTTCTGCCGTTTCTATCCAAGGATTGATGGGGCAGCTGGAGCCGGCCGACAAAGCGTGGCCCAACAATGGCTCAGGCAACTGCGCCAAGGCACCAGTGGGGAGCGATATACCTGAGATAAGTACACTTGGAATGTCACTGCAAATCATGGATGCTGAAAGATGTGTGATGATAACATGAGATGTTCGCGTTCTCGCCTTTTGTTGGTAGCTGCCTCATATTCCTGATAACTAGAGCTAGAGCATGTAAGAGTCATGGCTTCCTCCAGAAAGTTTCTGTCAAGCAGCCCGGTGATATACTACACGCACACTTACAGATATAATACGGTAGGTATCCCGATGCTCATACTTCTGCGTCGACAGTACGTAAACAACTAGAGGCATAATTCACATAAGACATATCATTATACTGTTGCAGGTACACACGCGCACACACACACATGTATATATATATATATATGTATATATATATGTATATATATATATGTATATATATATGTGTATATATATGTATATATATATACTGCACATATGCATATGCAATATCAAAGATATGTAATTACGTATGTGCATCTATACCCCAGGGTATACACGCACACATATTAGATGCATGCCCATACTCATACAAACATTGCTCTACGTGATGGCGCAGCAGATGGCCTGTCACCAAACACGGTGACCTACACTTCGCTCATCAAGGCCTGCTCCAAGTTTGGAGATCTACCAGGCTCCAGGGATTCCAATGGGGTCGTGATGGGGCATGGTTGGGTCAAGCCTGGAGTCACGGTGGTCCTGTAAGAGTCTGAATCTGGATGGACACTTACTGTACCACATGGATCCATACGGTACCATGCTGCCATCGGTACTTTGACATCGCGGGGGATGTCAGGAGCAGTGGGATGGCTTCATGAGATGGTCGCGAATGAGCTAACTCCCGATGTCATGGCCTACACAGCTCCTCAACTGACTTCTGTTTCGAGCTGATTTTGGTGAGGAAAACTGGAAGATCTGTGGAGGCAACGGCGATGGTGATGGGGACCTGAGCTTTCAAGATGTTTCAAGCATTTCAAGCCCTGGATTGAGGGTCTCAAAATCTAGTTGCCTGTTGCCCGCAGGGTTTGGGCTGGCCGCTGAGGCTGTGATACATTGCAGTGCCAAGAAGGGCAATGTGGAAGAAGCCACCAGGTGAGCAGTTCTTTCCAGTTGGCCGGTGCTGATGGTTATGGTTGTAGTGAGGCGTGCATCACCAATTCGAAAAGGAAATGTACTCCTGTTCGTCAGTTATTCATTATTATGATCATTGTGACATCATTATAGAGAGAGAGAGAGAAAGGTCCCCCATCCTCAAACATTTTCCATATGCCACAGGCTTTTCTTTCACCGCTCAGGTGGTTTGAACGGATGTCTGCCAACGATGTGCGGGGTGACTACGTGACTTACACGGCGCTGATCAATGCCTGCGCCAAGCGGAGTGATGCATTTGGGGCCATGAAGTGGTTGCAACGCATCGTGGACCTTTGGCAGCAGTCGCATGTGCCACTCCTGCAGCATGGCATCTTGACATGGGTTGCAGAGATTGGCAGAGGACCAGTGAGACATAGTGAGACCACTTGCTGCAAGTTGGCTATCCAGGCCATAAGTGTACTAATGTGTGGATGTCGACTCTTCCTGGATGCATCCTTGTATTTATGGCTTCAGTCCATCACTTGTCATCCTCCCCCCCGCTCGTGCCATCCCGAAGGACTGATAGAAAATCTGAACTGGGGACCATCAAGGGATATCAAGGGAATATTAGCAACATGTCCACGACCGGAGACAGTGAGAGAGAACACAGGGGATGCATTCAAATGTTTGGAAGAGGTTGCTATGTGATCTATGTCTTCTTTTTCGTCCGCATTTAAGCTTCTAGTAGCCGCTTAGTAGCATATTGTTAGTACCAACGACGCACAGAATCAATTTGGGACTTTCTGGCCTCTCCGTAGGTTCCACGCAGAGCTCCATGACTGCGTATGACTGGGTTGAGGAGTTTTAGTTGGTGAGTTATATAAGTTTCTATTGGTGAACCCACCAATCGAGTTATATATATATATAATAAATAATAATAATAATATATAATAATAATAATAACAACAATAATAACAATAATAATAATAAAAATAATAACACTAGTAATTTAGTGATAATAATGATAATAATGATTCTTGATAATAATGAGAATAATGATAATAATGATAATAATGACGATAATAGTAATAATAATATACAGATATAGATAGATAGATAGATAGATAGATAGATAGATCGATATTGATAGATAGATAGATAGATAGATAGTGACAGATAGTGACAGATAGTGACAGATAGTGACAGATAGTGACAGATAGTGACAGATAGTGACAGATAGTGACAGATAGTGACAGATAGTGACAGATAGTGACAGATAGTGACAGATAGTGACAGATAGTGACAGATAGTGACAGATAGTCAGATAGTGGGTCTATTTCTTGAGTGGTAGAAGTTGCAAGTGCAGTTCCCCCAGTTCTCCCTCAATTGATGCTATGCAATTCTATGCAGTGCTATTTGAATTTCAGCACGTGAACTGCAATCACATCATTGCTGATTGACCATGCAGCAGTTGTTGCCGCTGAGGATGAACAACTTCAACCCAATGTGGTGGCTTTCTCTGCCGCTCTCAAGGCTGGTCAGTCCAGAAACTTGTTCAACTCAAATGGATTCAGTTGGTTTGGCTGAAGAGGCAACTGCGGGTAACCCACATGCACGAATCAAAGTAGTTCCAGCAACTCATCAGCGGATTTGTTGTGCTGGGCAGAGAAAATGTAGGCGAGGACCTGTTTTTTGAACTGAAAGCCAATGAAACTGCAGCATTGATCCTCAAGGTCTAAAGTCTAAAGTCGGCAACTGGACCGTGCGGACTCCACATTTATTTGGAACATGACATGAACTGTAATTGAGATAATGCTGCTACAGTTCGGCACTCCCAAATGCCCTAAGATGTGACAAAAAAGAATAAAGAGAGAAAGAGAGGGAAACTTGGAGCTGGATTTGCAGCCTTACTTCGAAATCAAACGCACACACACACAATGTTTGGCTTGAATGCTTGTCGCATGAGCAAGCCCAACGTGACCCAACTCGTGAACCAGTAGTTGAATCTTCCAAAACTCCAGCTGGTGAGCGGTTTGGGAGACTCTACCGGGCTTTCCATCCATTTTTCTGGAGTATACGGATTATACTCTACAATATATACATATCCGAACTATTTTGTGGTGGGGTGAACCCCCCAGCTATAATCAAAGAGTGAAGGTCAAGAACTCCTGTAGATTGCCATGGCGTGGGTTCCGCAACGTCCCTTCGGGCCATGGCCTCTTGACACTGCAGCTGCCAGCAATTTGTCGTGGCCACTGGGGCACCAGCCGGGTCGCTTGGACACTTGGAGGAAATTGACCAAAAAACATAAACAAATCCGTGAAACCAGAAGGAAAACCATGACTTTCATATACTTTCATAGACAATCTGAGGTCAGCTCTATCCACTTTAAATGCGGGTACCGCACCCGAGGAAACCTGGGGTCACCGGGGAGAAGTTCCGATACCCTGTTGGAAGACCACGGTGCTGCACGACTCCAGGTGGGAGTAGGGCAGCATGGTGGGATGTCCACGGGACATGGTCGAAGGAAATTTAGAAGTCAAACTCAACTTCCGACATTTTTGGACAAATGAAGCAGCAGAGGGTGGAAGCGTCAGAGAAGAGAAAGAGTGAGAAGAAAGAAGATCAGAGAAGAGAAAGGAAGGAGAACGAAGATCAGAGAAGAGAAAGAGTCAGTAGAAAGAATATCCAGGTGCGCGAAACTGTGTTTTCCCAATGTTTTTTGGCTCCGGAAGGTTGAAAAGTAGGCTCGCTAAAGCTGCAGGTGCAGAGGCATTTGGGGAGATGAGAGATGAAAAAGTGCACGCCGGTGTGGCGCGAAGCAGATTTGGCAGTCAAAACGTACAGGGCACACCATGTTTGGAGCACTTTTGGAAGTTGAGATGTGCACATCACTGTGGCGTGAAGCACATGTGGAAGTCAAAATGCTAAAAGCACCACAGGTTCGGACCGCTTTTGGAAGTTGAGATGTCGAAAAGGTGTGCGCGGCGGCGGCACGAAGCAGATTCCTATGTGAAAACGGTAAAAACATCACATGATATATATTTAAACCAATCAATACCATTGGGATGACATCAGTATGATCCAAAATTACAATTGAGTTCAAATTTGATCAAGTTTGTGAGCCAATTGGTGCCCAAATGTCGGGCCATGGGCCATCAGGTGCGAAGAGGTTTGTAAGCATGGTCAGCTATTTTTAGGTTGATGCTACGTTTGAATTCATCCCACTTTAATCATTGTGGACTAGTGGGTTCAGTGGCTAAGTGGGTTGGTATTCCAAGAGGTTACCAACATGTGCAGGTCCCTCCTGGGTCTGTGTTGTTATTTCCTTTTTGAGACACGCGCTAAAATGTGTATTGCGAACTGCAACTTCGGTTTCAGGGGTAGTTGATGCGGGGCCCCATTTGCACAGGTCGGGCTGCAGTCTCAACAATTTGTTGGTACTTTGGGTTGTTGGCTTGAAATTGCTTCGGCCATGGAGCAGGTTGGGTTGGGCAGGGCGCTGCGAGAACCTGTTCCAGCTGGATAAGTTGGATTCACCTGGCCTCTGTCAGAAAGCCTGTGTGGAAGATCCCCGGTGCCACCTGGCACATCGGCAACGCTGGGGTGTGAGATGACATGGTGGATATATAATATAGAGACAACATTTTAACTTTCCAACTTGAATGCGGACATTCAATTTCTTTGCCAGGAGTGGAACCACAAAAACTGCCACGATGTGGAAATTACTTTCTTCGAGTGATCCCCACCTTGACACACTATTTCTGATACATTTTTTGACATACCATTCGGAAGTAAATATGGCACATATACAAATGTATATATATATATATGTATGTATGTATGTATGTATGTATGGTTTGGGGATGGTTTCGGTCGTTCTCACAAACGGTGTTTTTGAGAGGTGTGTTTTTCAAGTGTTATGATAACAAAGTGCAAGCACAGAAGTAGCTACAGTAGCACAAGCACAAGAGTCACTTCTGCAGCAGACATGTGGGTGCACCGCAGAAATAAAAAGTAGCACGGCAGTAGAAAGAACAGTTGGCACAATAAGTTTGCTGTTTGCTGTAGCACATGCCAGGCCAGACACAGAGCGACACACACAGACATATATATATATATATACATACACATATCCATATCCATACATATATTCATCATGCATATATGCATATATGCATATATGCATATATACATATACATATGCATGTACATATACATATACATATACATGCATATATATATATACATACACATATACATATACACATACATATACATATACATATACATACATATATAAATATACATATACATATGCATATACATATATATATATATATATACATATGTATATATATATACACACACACACATATATATTTATGTATACATACACACACACATACATACATACATACATACATACCTACGTACCTACATACATACATACATACATACATACATACATACCTACGTATGTATGTATGTATGTATGTATATATATATATATACATATACAAAGATAAATACACACATACATACAATATATATATATGCATATGTGATGACAGATGGCACATGACATATGATTTATGTGCATGATATATATATATGATGTATGATTTATGATACATATGTTTTTTTTGAATGATATATGATATATGATTCATGACAAATAATATATGACATATGATATATGATATGTGATTTATGATAGATGACACATGGTGCTTGATATTTGATATATCATATCATATATCTATGTGAGATATTCATTCTGACATTTTATCTGACATTCTTTCTGGCATATACTCTGACATTCTATTTGGCTTTCTTTCTGGCATCTATTCTGACGTACTTTCTGGCACTATCTGACATATATTTGATATTCCATTCTGACATTCTTCCTTCTCTTTGGCATTCTCTCTGGCATGATTTCGGGTCCAGGCGCCCTCCAACAGCATCCTGCGCTCGCGATATGGAGTTCGGTCCAGGCGCCCTTCACAGCATCCTGAACTCGCGATAGGGTTCGGGTCCAGGCGCCCTCCACTGCATCCGGAGCTCGCTATATAGACATCGTCTACCTCAGAGAAGAGGTGGTGAGGAGGCGAGGAGGAGGAAAAAGAAGAAGAAGAAGAAGAAGGAGAAGGAGAAGAAGGAGGAGGAGGAGGGAAGGAAGGAGTTGCACCTGTGTTAAACTCTAGAAACGGCCACCTGGCAGGTGGGGAAAAACACTGGAAAACCGGCATGCAGGGGGCAGTTCTGGTCAGTAGATGGCAGTAGCGACTGTTTTTTTCTCGCTGTTACCGTAACAAAATTGAGGGCTTCTAGCTGCGGGTGTCGAGGTCCTGTGTGGCAGTTCCGGACGGATTCGCGGAGCTGTTGGGTATGGGCCTCTGAGAGAATCTGGGGCAGTTTTTGGCCACTGGACATTCACAACTTTCGTTTAGAATTAGGGTGTTTAGAAATTCTCGGAGAATTATGCTCTAAATTGTCAGTTCACTGTCATTTCATGTCTCGGACTCATCAATCAAACTCAATGTGAATTGGTTGAAATTGCAAGTTCATCCTCCCATTAGTAGCTCTTATTAATTCATGATTAACTGGAACCCAACTCTCACTGCCCAGGTGGGCTTCGGCATTCATTGCGACAGTCCATCAGCTGGATCCCTGATGGGCGTGGGCCGCGCACCAGTGGATGCCCAGCGGCTGCTGCATGGCACCGTGTATGTGGTGCGGCAGCTGGTGGGTGTCCCTTGGCGTGGAAAAATGGCCTTGGAAGGCATTGAAAAATGGCAGCTTCCCATGAGAAAATCAGCTTGGAGCAGCCAACTCACTTGTCACTGGTATGTTGAATGTCAGTTTCTGGATGCTGCTTCTGAGGTGAAGGTGCAGAATCTTTTCCCCATGGGTCAGCCGGGTGCATCCCAGGCTTCAGATGCCTTCAGCATCGAACGGTGCAAGGCGTAAGTGGTGATGGCTGCATGGCTGGAGCTGTGAAAGAGATGGATCCATGGAAGTTGCCAATCTTGTTCAATTGTTGAATTGTGTTTCAACTGATTCACTAATTTACTTACACGGGATTCGGCCTTTCGGTCGCTTGTTGATGTCGACAGCCAAATGATCAGCGCAGACATCCCACGCGATCCTTGTGGCAAGTTCTCCATGTATTCCATGCAAGTTCTCCATGTTTTTTGCCCGCCAGGCCTGGTGTTATTCCAACATTGCCTGCCAGTATTGGCAATTCTCTCAAACCGAGGGCTGCTTGGTAGATGCACCGATGCTCAGCAAGACTTTGGTGCCTTACCCCTTGACTACCTCAGCATTGAGCAGTGGTGCTGATGCTCACAACATCATTGCAGGAGCAGGGCGCAAAAACAAACAGCCGTTGACGAACAGATTCACTGGGTTGCTATATATACTTCAATGTCAGCCTGAGCAACAAGACCCAGGTTGATTTACTTGGGAGTTGTTTCATCCATCAGGGGTTGTTGAAAACCGTTTGGTGAAGGTGATGTGATTTTCTGTCTGCAGCCGGGCATGTTGGGAATTGGTGTGGGTCGTCCGGCTCAAGGAGAATACATTCATCACTACTGCCCCAACCGAACCACTGCAGATGTGGAAGATGCCCCCAGCGTTTTCACCCATGCACCGGCCAACCTGGCCGTTCACAGGGACCAAGGTGCTCCACGTGGCTGGCCTTGGGTGGTGGTGAGTTTGCTGTTGACCTTGGTTCTGGCCGTGGCTGGCTTTGCAACCTGACTGCAGAAGCTTCACTAGGAGATGTTCTCATGTTCTCAACATGTTTTCTGAAGGGAGCGAACGGCTCGACTTGAGCAGACCTGGGTACAAGACTATACAAATGTAAAGTATATGGCATGTAATGAAAGGTATGCAGGTACGCCCTCCAAATCATGTTCCAGACTGGAGTCATTTCCAGTAATTGAGACCCTTTCCTCTTGAAAGTGGAAATCTTCCCAGCTACAGGCCTACTATGCCTTGATCTGGAAGGGTCGACGGGGAGCAAGACGAACGCCCCTCCAGTCCGATGGACTTGCCAGGGCTGCACCACAGGCGCCGGAGGGTGCCAACTTTTTGCCTGTGCCGTGGCATGCCGTGGCATTTGGGAACCCATGCTGGTTGGTTCTCCATGATTGTTCCAAGCATTTCGAATTTGTCACCTATTCATACCTATTCAGGATGATGATCCCAATTGGCCAATATTTGTTGGGGATGGGTTGAAGCAACCAACAACCAGGGTTTTGGCTCTGCTGAAGCCATTGGTCCCTGAAACTCCATTGACCAAGCCATGCGAGATGGGCATCAGCAAAAAACCGCGAAGAGTTTGAGAAAAACATGAGAACGCAACGAACACACCCTACGGTAATTTAACATTTTTGGAAAGTTGCCTACTTATAGATTATTTACATTTATTTACCATGATTTCCCTATTTTAACGGGTGATTTCCATAGCTATGTTAAATTTCCAGAGGGCAAATATCTATCATATGCATCGTTTCCCATTGGGTTATATAGTTATTTTGAGCGCATGGCTGAGGTGCAGGTTGCCCGTGTTCAAACGCCTTCTGCTGCCCCAACGCCATCCTCGGGTTATCCCACACCAACGGCCTACCGAACGCCACAGCATACGCCCCAGCCGCGGAATCAAATGTTCAGCCCCTACGGGCAAGCTGGATACTCCCCAGTGGCTCCATCACCATTCAACGTTCGTTGAAAATAGTGCGTGCAATTTTGCATTTGGGGTGTTTTGAAGAGAGTGACCTTGGAATTGATGAGGTTTCCGGGCAACACATAATCTCGTCCACAATGTGGGGCACTTGACACTAGTCACTAGGTGATCTGGAATGATTTGGATCTGCTTTGCATTGCCTTGGTCAGATTTTAGGTTTCCCACACCTGCATCCGTGCCAGGCGTGTGCTCGGAGCACCCAGTTCGATGAAGCCCAGCGACTGTGGAAGGAGCTGTGCCCGCCACGGCCTAGGTCGTGATTCTATGGGATTCCAGGCCCTCCAGTAGTCTAGCCGGGCAATTGGACATGCCCGTTTTCAGTTGGCAATATAGGGAACATGCGCATATCCGAAAAAAACATCATCTACAAAACGGGGGATCTACCAGGTTGAAGTTGAAGGTTGGTTCTGAAAAAACCAGGGCCTGTGGCAGACCCACGGCAGGACATGGATGACATGAAAATCGTGCCCAACATCATCTCGGTGACTTCGGCCATTGAGGTTTGTGCCAAAAGTCGCCCCAGGCAGGATGGCTGGCGCAGATAGGTGTGGCAAAAATGGGTGAAGGTGGGAGATGTTGAATTCTGACTGTGCTGGCGTGTTTTTGAATTCCCCATTCTGATGGTTTTTTCCTTTCTCCTTTTACACTGAGTCAGATTGGCATGTTCCGTGTGAATCGGTGTCAAAGTCAAAGGTGGTAAAAACCCATGCAACACCTGGGATGTTGGATGACCAACATGGGAAACATGACTAAAGAGTCAGGGTTAGAAATCCTTTCGCAAGTTGTCATGGTTCATGCGATTCGCAGCACGATCGGTGGCCGGTGCCAGCAGATTGCCAGGCGTCAGGACGAGGCCGAGCGCCTCTTCCGTCAGCTCGTGGGATCGTGCCATGTACGGCCGGATACAAAGCTGATCCGCCGCTGGGACGCGGAACCGTTGGGGGTGGAAAAATAAAGGGTGGGATTCATCCAACGCCATAAACCTAGAATTTGGGGATGGTTTATGTAGTTTATAGGTGTTTATATGATTTACATATGATTTTATATGGTTTATGCCACCGGTATATGGAAATAATATGAAATAATTGGGGATGGTTTACAATTGGGTTTGCCACATTATCAAGTCAATTTGGTGTCTGGGGCTCCAGGTTTGAACGCTTCTTCAAGCTGTGTTCCTCTCAAATCGCTCTGATTTGCATACCTTTGCAGGGATCCTGGCCAGTCACTAGCATATTCCAGCAGGTGCTTTTCAGAGATTGTCAACTTTGCCGCCCTCAGTTATACTGATCAATATGTTTTGTGTCCTGTCTCATGTTTGTCACGGGTTCAAGCCAACAACCTCGTGATTGTAAAATCTGACACATGACTTTGAGGTACAATGATGCGTGCAGTTGGGATGAACAAATGCATGGAGCTCTGCCGTGAGTTGGGAGCTGCTTGTTTGCACAGTCGAGCCCAACGGATACGCAAATGACTCCAGGCAGCTCGCGTACATAGTACCGTACTAAAAAAAACAGTCGCAGTTGCACACACACACACAACAGATAGATAGATGGATGGATGGATCGATAGGATAGGATAGGATAGGATAGGATAGATAGGAGAGATAGGAGAGATAGGATAGATCGGATAGATCGGATAGATAGGACAGATAGGACGGATAGGACAGACCAGATAGGACAGACCGGATAGGACAGACCGGATAGGACAGACCGGATAGGACAGACCGGATAGGACAGACAGGACAGAGAGGACAGAGAGGACAGAGAGGACAGAGAGGACAGAGAGGAAAGAGAGGACAGACAGGACAGAGAGGACAGACAGGACAGACAGGACAGACAGGACAGAGAGGACAGAGAGGAAAGAGAGGACAGGGAGGACCGAGAGGACAGGGAGGACAGAGAGGACAGAGAGGACCGAGAGGACAGGGAGGACAGAGAGGACAGAGAGGACAGAGAGGACAGAGAGGACAGAGAGGACAGAGAGGACAAGGAGGACCGAGAGGACAGGGAGGACAGGGAGGACAGGGAGGACAGGGAGGACAGGGAGGACAGGGAGGACAGGGAGGACAGACAGGACAGAGAGGACAGAGAGGACAGAGAGGACAGGGAGGACCGAGAGGACAGGGAGGACAGAGAGGACAGAGAGGACAAGGAGGACCGAGAGGACAGGGAGGACAGGGAGGACAGGGAGGACAGGGAGGACAGGGAGGACAGGGAGGACAGGGAGGACAGGGAGGACAGGGAGGACAGGGAGACAGAGAGGACAGAGAGACAGACCGACAGACGGACAGACGGACGGACGGATGGACGGATAGAGAGAGAGAAGAGAGAGAGAGAGAGAGATAGATAGATAGATAGATAGATAGATAGTCAGATAGAGGTATGTATATGTATATGTTGAAGTAACACACACAAACAAACACACACACACACAAGCCCTTTGCGGGCGCGAGACCCGCCTTCAAGTGGTGAGGAACCACTAGGTGTCCTCTGCAGCCGTTGCCCCACGAGTAGGACCGTTCAATCTTGGCGATTGGGGTGACTCCCAGCTCTTGCCTCTGGTCTTGCCGGGGTGGGCTCCCGTTATCGTCACTGGCCCTTGGATCTCCGACAACAATTGGGGCTGGGCACCCCCGCTGACTGACCCATCAACATCTCAGGTGTATTTCATTGGATTTTGCTGAATATTAAGTGCTGCGCTCACCTGCTGGACAAAGTTGGCCCTTGTGAGTTGCATGCAGAGTACAATGCACCTTTACAGATTTCTTTTGGGATACAGTTTGGGATACATTTTGAGGACATTGGCACTTGCGCCTCGCAACCCGGTCCCAATGCCGGGCATGATCACCGCACAGGACATCAATATTGATCAATCCCGGCAGTCTACAATTCCACATTTCTTCAGCAGACAGGGTGATCATGAGGGTGAGGGTTGCCATGTTGCCACGAACATGGCGAGAGCGGCCGATTGGGAAGCAGCTTTTCCACAATGGGCGAAACAAAGTGGAATACCGCCAACAGTGGGCCACGGCCCGATTCAACAGCCTTACAAGCAGCAATACACACAAGTACAGAAGCGCAGCTACAAACGAGCTTGCCGTCGTGTTGTTCTGACAGGACAAACATGGTACAAAGGTCAATGCTTGCGCACTCAGGACTTCCCCGCCAAATTGGTGCAATCGTTTCAATTGCCAGAAGGACATCGACCAGGACCCAACCTAATGCCACATCACCACAAGCACAAACCACGAATTCGGATCCTACATTGGAACCCGGGTGGCATGAGCCAAAGCACCTTTCAGGAGCTCAGGCACTGGCTGCAAAGCAACCCTGTGGACTTGGTAATCATCTCTGAGACCCGCTGGGGTTTTGAGGCCTGTTGGAATGACAAGGACTGGTCGTACGTGCACAGCCCTTCAGACCACGCCAAGTCGGGAGGACTATTGGTCATGATCGCTAAACGATGGACTGCGTCTGACAACATTGGTTACAACATTGTGCACCCTGGACGGCTCTTACACATTCGATTGCATTTTGCAAAACGAGCCACTGATGTGATTGCAGTTTATCAGTTTACGGACTATCGCACCACAGATTCTGTTCGAAGTAGATGACAAATCTGGACTCAACTGACAGAACAAATAAGCCGTTTACCAAATCGCAATCAACTCATTTGTGGAGGAGATTTCAATTGTTCCTTACCTCGAGCTGAACCCTGGTGTGGCCCTGACACATTTAACTGGAGAGACAATCACAGTCGAGGAGCTCAACACCAGGATATGCACCTGTTCAAGGAACTTCTGCAATCTCAAGGACTTGTTGCGCTGAACACTTGGCAAGATGCTGGCTACACATATCAACATGGCATGTATGCATCTCGCATTGACTTTTTGATCACTCGTTTGAATGCATGTGATGGACACTCCAAACATGTGGAACATTTATATCATGCTCCTTTTGTGCCACTGAACCAGACACATCATGTCCCAATTGTAGGAACAATCAGAAAGATCCACATGGCATATCAGCGAGATCGTACTGTCAGGGCCTGCAATTTTGCACAACGGATCCAATGCCGACAAGCACAACTGCAGGATACCAGCCAATGGCATCAGCTCCAAGCGCACCTACACGAGGTGATCACTGTCCGGCAGCAGGACACAACACATGACCATACTGACATTCAACTCCTCCATCAACAAATTATTCCCAAATTTCAAGAACTTTTTCATGGAGCAAGAAACCAATTACCCCAAGTTGACTATACGGACTTTCACACTGCGATACAGGAAAAGTGGAGACACCATCAAGTTCTGAGGCAAGCCTGTCAAAGCACACACATCACACTCCGATACATTTGGCAAGTGTGGCAGCATTGGAGTCGTTTTTCCTTTTTGCGACGGACGCAACAGAAGCGTGCCAGACTGGCCAGATCACGCAGATTTGCTGAGCTCTGCGATCAGGTCAGCAGGGCTGCGGACAAACATGATGCACAACAGATGTTTTCCATCATTAACAAGTTTTCCCCTCGCAAACCACTGATGAAACTCAGACTCCGTACACAGGATGGCAACATTGCTGACCAGTTTGAAACACATGCACTTCTGGCTGACTATGTTCGACGCACCTGGCAAGGCCCTTGCACATTGCCACATTTTACTGAACACCCCCCTGGGGTTCCGTTCTCGGTAGATGACATTGCCAGAGCTGTTACCAGACTGCATCCAAACAAGTCAGTAGCCATGCCTTTCTTGCCTGCTATTGTGTGGAAGGGAGATCCTTACTTGGTGGCCACTTATTTGCATCAACTCTTAACCCAATGGTGGAATGTTTATCCCCCAATCATCCCACAAGAATGGAAAGACTCGTGGGTCTATTTCATCCCCAAACCTGGTAAGGCCTGTAACCGACCAGACCAATTGAGACCAATTTCTCTCATGGAAACCCTCGGAAAACTGGTGATGGGTCTGGTCACAGACTGCCTGAAGCGGCATTTGACACGGACCCTGTGCCAGGGTCCCCATTTTGGCTTCCTGCCAATGCGAGCTGCAACAGATGCGATCTGTAGGGTCTCTAGGCATTGCGCTTTGATCAGGGAGCTGGTGAAAAACCATCGGAGGACAGTTGCAGCCCAAATGAGATCTCCTCCTACAGCCACCCTCATGGGCGGCCTACAGCTGTTTCTGGACCTAACAAAAGCTTTCGACCGTGTCCACAGAGCCACATTAATTGAACATCTCCACAAATTACAAATCCCACCTGACCTACTTACTATCATCACCCATTGGCATGAAAACACACAATACAATTTAATGTTCCAAAATGACACTACTCACATATCAGCAGGCATTGGCCTTCGACAAGGCTGCAAAATTGCTCCCATATTGTGGGTAGTATTTATGCACCGGCTGCTTGATCTTTTGGTACCCCTGACTGGGGAAGACTGGATTAGAAATTGTCTGACATTGTATGCAGACGATCTGCATGTTGGTTGCTGCTTCCACACCCCAGGGCAGTTGGATCGCCACATGATCAATATTGGACATTTGCTGGATTGTATTGAAGACTTACAACTTCAGCTCTCTTACCAGAAATCCTATGTCATTTTGGCCACAACAGGGAGCAACCAACGAGGTGCTATGAAAAGCCGTTTCAAGCGAACCAACCGTGAGACCTTTGCCTTGTTTCCACGGCGCGATGGCAGCAAAACGGAGCTACCCTTGCGCAGTCATGGGATTTACCTTGGCACCGTGATGTCATACCACGCCTTTGAACTGCAGACATGGCACCACCGTCGAAGAGCTGCATGGAGTGCTTTTGCTAGACTGGCTCAATGGCTTCGACACCGACAATTTCGGTTACAACACAGACTGTATTTGTGGAGAACATGCATCAACACCATACTGACTTATGGATTGTTTGCAACTTCCTTTACTTTACAGACTTTGCAGGCCTATCAGCTCACAGTTTATCAAATGTTGCGCAAAATCATTGGTGATCATGCACACGTGACAGGTCACAGTCATCAGCAGGTACTTCTCACATATGACCATGCCCAGCCAATGGAAATCCTCTTTCAGCTAGCTCAGAGCCTATGGCATCGGCTTCAACAGAGGCAGCAATGGTTGGCACCAGATGATTTTCTCCGATATGTTGATTGGTCCCATTTGCAAGATACACTGCATTTGATCCAAACCATTGCCACCAGCTTTCCGGAGGTGCCCATTGGACCTGGGGATGATGATGGCCAGCAGATGCAGGTACGCTACAAATGCCAGCACTGCACCTTTGTCACTCACTCAATTCCCAACTTGCGAAGACACAGTACAAATGTCCACGGTACATCTCAACATCGCACATACAATCACACCATCTTGGACATGTCCCTGAATGGACGTCCACAATGTATTCATTGTCATAAACATTTCACCACATGGAGACGATTTCAAATTCATGTCGAACGCAATTGTTGTCAGGCACCCCAACCGACGAGATTGACACAGCCCCGGTCGACCACCCAGGCCAGTGGTAGCTCACAGGCTGAGTCATCCAACTACCATGTCACCATACAGCCGTTCTGGACGGAGCTCAAGGACAAGATCCAGCGCCAGGCGTGGCAGGAAGTTGCTGAGATTCCAGCTGCAAGTCAGTACCTTCCACACTCATGTATGGTGTGCGGCATTTGGAACAATCGCTGCCAAGAAATGAATGGCCACTACCGGCTTCACCACCCGGACCTGACGCAGGGTATTTTTACCAAGTCAGCGCAGATCACGAAGCTGATGCCAAGCACTAGTCCATGCGTGCTTTGCAAGACACCCTTCAAGCGAGGGCACATGTGCAAAGTGGCCACTCAACTGGCGGCTCTGGCTCTGCATTGCCTGGACCTCACCTTCAACCAGTTATGCTGTGATATTTGTGCCATGGAGTTCGAAACCACAGCCCAATTACATGCTCACCTCAGTTCTGACCATGAAGTTCAAATCCACGACTGGAACGCTGCCAGGGACTCTCTCCCGGAGAGCAATGGATGTAGTCACTGTGGCCAAATATATGCCACACGTGCAGGACTGCGTCGTCACATAACTGACGGGCGCTGCCCGTTCTTTGAGCCGATGGCGTCCAACACGCCACTGAATGCGGCAGCCAAATGGGCCCTGAATCTCCAGTCAGGCGCCATTTCGACCACCGGCTTGCCAGCCCAACAGAGGCTTCAGTTGACGCTACACTGCCAGTTCTGCGGGGAGGTGTACTCAAGAAGCAATGACTTAAGCGCGCATCTCCAACAGACGCACGCACAGCTCTGGGCTCAGTCAGGTGAAATGGTCCGCTTCCTATTGCAGACGTTGACTCCATATGTGGGCTGCCTTTGCAACCCTTCCACCCATGATGTGAGCCGTACCCACATTTGCAATGTGATCAGACAGATGTCCATGATTTTTCTGACCAGTGAGCAAGACCTCCTGATCCCCTGGCATTTCAGTGACGCTGATCTGCGCATGGCCTACAGACACCTGCTGCCCAACCCACATGTGGACATGATGCTCAATGTGCTGGTCGACAGAGATTACAGCCATCTATGGCATGCTCCCACGCTGTTGCAATTGCTCAGACAACGTTGCGTGCTTTGTGGCATACAATTTCATCCAGCAGCACTGACGATGCACCTGGTGGCACAACATCATGACGACAGCCAGTGGGCGGCTCAGATCAAATTTCAACTTGTGCAATGCTTTCTCCGTGAACAATCGAATGATTTTCAGCGTAAGTTTTGTGCATTGATTTTCAATACTGAACACCCAACTGGGGATGAGACTGCTGACCGCACTGCCATGGTCCAAGCACATTTTACAGCGTGCTGCCCAGTGCTTCACCAAATAGCCCTCCTGCTCCTACCGATCAATGGCAGATCAGCCCATGATGGATCAAGCAGATACGGAGCTGCTGAACTCGTTTGCGGCGCTGGGACCCTTGCTGGTGCAGGCCAGTCAGTACCACCGCTCAAACGACGACGAACCCAATCCCAAAAAACACCGCCATGCCATGGTGAAGCAGGAGGACGAGCAAGGCCCAACCAAGAAAGCACTCCTGGGCATGGTGAAACTCATGGCACAGGTCATCATCCAGCACGACAAGGCCATCCAGATGCAACACAGACAGACCTGTTTCGTTTTGTTCGTCCAAACCAATCCCGGCAGTGCTCTGGGGGTGCTGACACAACAGGCCCTAGCCTGGAAGACGCAGAAGAGCACCGACCAGGCCAATCCATTGACCCTGAGGACCTTCCTGTTGAGGAGCGTCATCCTGGAGCTGCAAACGAGACTGGTGAAGCTTTCACAGAGCTCACAGGGCAATCCAATCTGGGACACGGCCGTCCAAGAGGGAGTGATCCTGGCGGACGGCTCTTGGCCGTATCAACATTGGTGTCACAAGGAGAAGAAGCTGATCCGATCTCATCGCAAACCCATGGGGATGGCCAGGACTCTCAAAGAGGTTCAGCTGCTCACGTAGCTGCTGCAGGAGGAGGGGCAGGTCATGCGCTTTCACAGCCTGAAGCCGCAGACCACGGTGGTGCCATGGATGATCGAGGTGAGCCTCAGAGAAACCGAAATGTGGAACACCCTGATGGGCATGACGCAGTCAACGCTGTGGACGCTGGTCGGAGCCTCACTCAAACAGCACTCACAGGCGACGAGCAGACCGACCCAGATGCTGGAGCAATTGTTGATGGGCCCGAAAGGCAAGGGCCAGGGGAAGGGCAAGAAGAAGAGTACTTGAGCAGGCAGGCACGCAACGCTTTGCGTGCTGCCCTGACCAATCTTGTCCTGGACAACTCCAGTCACCTTTGCTATGCCAATGCTGCGGTGTCTTGCTTTCTTTGGGCCAGTCTGTCGTGATCGCGCTTCAGCTACGCTGATTGGGGAATACCAGCCCCTTTGTTTCGTGAAATGCTGAGTTCGCCTGAACCCTATTCCATAGACAGTCAGACATGGTATGAAGACCTCACACTTCATTGGGATGACAATCATGGTCAGGCGGACTCTGCCGAGTTCACACAAATGCTGGTTCAATGGGTGTCACCTGCGTTTTATTGCAGCTATTGGCACAGAAGATGGATGCAGTGTGAAAATGTGCTGATTCATGACCATGGAGACAGACATCAACCACTGTTTCTGCAACTTGAGCCAACACACGTCACCAATGGTATGATCCGTCTGACTGACATGCTGAGGAGCTGGCACGGGGAGCTTGGCATGAGTGCAGGTCTGCTGCGCCCTCCAGAGGTCTTTTGTGTTCACTTGGAAAGGATGGTGCAAACATCCAAAGGTGCACTCTACAAGATGCAGACACCCATCATTTTCACAGGAAACATTCAGGTACCAGTGTTCCAAGGTAACACACTGGAATGCAGATGGGAGGCCTACCAGGCGGTTGCGGCCTTTGCACACTATGGTGAGTCAAATGCTGGCCATTATCGCGCGCTCTTGCGCACTGAGCCAGGGCATGTTGGCCTTGATGCTACAGCATATTGGCTGGACTGCGATGACTGCAGGAAGCCCAAGCCCTGCACGTATATCCCAGAGGGATTCATGGCTGGGGTCACATGTGTTTGGCTGTGCCGCACGGATCTCATCGAGTTGCATGACTGGCACCAGCCGCCCAATGCCACCACGCCAGACACCACGTTGCTGCACTTGCTGACTGGCACCACGTAAAAAAAAAAACAAAAAAAACAAAAAAAAAATAATGATGCATCACCGGTTTTTGCTATGGTGATTGCTTAGGATTCATGATACAGGGTAAGCCCAGTCAGCGACAAAGAAGTCTACTGGCTGCGATCAGTGCACAAGGTATCCAGCCAGTAGCTCCAGACTTGTATCACCCTGGCATTTTGCCATTGCCTAGCAGGTGAAATCGAAACTGATGCCATTTTGGTGCAACCTATCCCAGCATTTTGCTCCTTGCCTAGCCGGCGCATTCGACCTTGCATGGCACGGGACTTATTGACGTCCTCGTGCACTTTTCAGGCACCCTGCCCCCAGGCAGGCTTATCCCTCAGGCCTGAGAAACCCTCAGGTGGACCTCCAGTTTCAAAAAAAAAAACTGGTCCAAGAGGCTTAGCCCAATGTGTCACGAAGGCCAGTATTAAAAAATAAAAAATAAAAAAATTAGGTCCGTTTCACAATGCGCCCAACGTGGCTGACTCGTTTAGTGAGCAGTCCAGTGGCGGCACAGGAATTTGAGAAGAGCCAACCATTTGCCTTTTGCCTAGCCGGCGACATCTCGATATTGCACGCCATTTTGGCGCTGATGCCTCTATCAGGACCTGACCTGCTCAACCACTCCAAAGCACCAAGTCTGAACCTGCTGCACATGCACCCGGTGCCCAACCGGTTTATCCCCCTTTTTTTTCCATGCCCTCTGGCAACCCCAGAGTGTACCCAGGCCGGACAGGGCACCAAAAAAAAAAAACAACAACATTCTGTTGCTTCTCCAATAAGTCCCTGTCGTTTCACCAATTCCCCCAATGCCAATAATACGTTGGATACAGCTGCTAGGACTCATCAAGAACGGGACATGAAATTTTTGCCACTGATTGCATGTCGCCAGTAGCTGCTAAGGCTCACCCTGTTTCTCCACAGAGAGAACCGGCTGGAACAATAGGTTCTCAGCTGCTGGCGCGCGCGGATTCTCCATAGAAAGAAGCGTGGGAAAAAAAAACAAACAAACACACACACACAGACACACACACACACAGACACACACACACAGACACACACACACACAGACACACACACAGACACACACACACAGACAGACAGACACACACACACAGACAGACAGACACACACACACAGACAGACAGACACACACACAGACAGACAGACACACACACAGACAGACAGACACACACACACAGACAGACCGACACACACACACACAGACAGACAACACAAACACCACAGACAGGACAGACACACACCCAACAAAGACAGGACAGACACCACACACACAGACACCCAGACACACACACACACAACAGACAGACACACACACACAGACGACACCCCCACCACAGAAGACACACCCACACACAGACGACACACACCACACAGGACAGACACACACACAAGACGACACACACACAGACAGACACAACACACCACGCCCGAACACACACCACACACAGACAGACACCACAACAAAACACAGAACAGGACACACACCAACAGGACAGACCCACAAACAGACAGACACACACACAGACAGACCCCACACACAGACAGCAACACACACCACACAGAACAGACACACACCACCAGACAGGAAACACACACACACAGACAGACACACAACAGACAGACACACACAACAGCCAGAACAACACAAACAGACAGACACACACACACACAGACAGACCACACACACACAGACAGACACACACACACAGGACAGACACACACACACACAGACAGAACACACACAGACAGACCCACCACACACAGACAGACACACAACCCCACACAGACAGACACACACAACACACACAGACAGACCACACAACACAGACAGACAACACACACAGACAGACACACACACACAGACAGACACACACACAGACACACACACACACAGACAGACACACACACACAGACAGACACACACACACACACAGACAGACACACACACACACAGACAGACACACACGCACAGACAGACACACACGCACAGACAGACCCACACGCACAGACAGACCCACACGCACAGACAGACCCACACGCACAGACAGACCCACACGCACAGACAGACCCACACGCACAGACAGACCCACACGCACAGACAGACCCACACGCACAGACAGACCCACACGCACAGACAGACCCACACGCCCAGACAGACGCACACGCCCAGACAGACGCACACGCCCAGACGCACACGCCCAGACGCAAACGCCCAGACGCAAACGCCCAGACGCAAACGCCCAGACGCAAACGCCCAGACGCAAACGCCCAGACGCAAACGCAAAGACGCAAACACAAACGCAAACACAAACGCAAACACAAACGCAAACACAAACGCAAACACAAACGCAAACACAAACGCAAACACAAACGCAAACACAAACGCAAACACACACAAACACACACACACATAATATACATAGTTTCATATCATAGTCGTTTCCATTCCTCACCTCAGGTCGTGGACGCCGCGTTGCAGGCGTTGGCCGCCTCCTTCTCCAAAGACGCGGTGGATGAGGAAAAAGTCGCGGCAGTGGTCGGAGTTTGGAAGAGCGACGGCACGAAACCCGAGAAATGCATAGAATTTCCTTTTTGTGTTGCCAGGAAAATTTTATGAATGGAGCAACATGTATAGATAGTTTTACAGAGCTTGGAGGAAGTTGGTGCGGGCTGGGTTGCCACGGATGGGCTCGTGGATCCATCAACCAATAGCGGTCAAATGTTGCAATGGACATAATGGACGAACCAAGTTGGACCAGGAAAACGGCCTTGACGGTATCCTTGAAAATGGCACTTGCGAGGAGGATTCAACCATTTTCCCAGGTAACCACTCTGCAAGACAATAGATCGACGTCAACACATCGTCAGCTGGTGGTTGTTGGTGGTTTTCCATCGATTTCCGACATCGTCAGCTCTGCAGCTGTTGCGGCTCGGAGGCGCTCAGGTAAGTGGCCCCGGGCATGCGCGCCTAGATGCGCCTAGGCATGCGCTGGCCACTGGATCTCGAGGCGCCCAGAATGGGTCGAGAAAGGTGACAGATGTGACAGACATTAGCGATTCTTTGCTGATATTTTCTTAGGATCCCCAAAGAAGAGGACACTCACCAACTCGTGTTGTGTGCGTGCGATCTGGAACGTGTTAACTAGACGACGGATGGCCCGAGAGCGTAGAGGAGCAGGGTCTTCTCTTGTTAGTATGGAGACACAATTTTAGAAACAATATATGAAAGATGTGTTATAGGCAGTCGAGAAGAGGAGTATCAAGACAAAATAGTGAGAAGTGCAAGACAATAGTTTGCATCGCAAACACTTTTACACACAGAAGCTTTTACACACAAAGCTTTTACCCACAGAAGCTTTTACATACAGAAGCTTTTACATACAGAAGCTTTTACATACGGAAGCTTTTACACACAGACAATTTTACACAGATACTTTTACACACAGACACGTTTACACACAGACACTTTTGCACACAGACCCTTTTACACACAGGAGTTGCTTTTACACACAAACGCTTGTACACACAGAAGCTTTTACACATAGACGCTTTTACACACAGGCACTTTTACACACAAACACTTTTACACACAAACACTTTTACACACAGACGCTTGTACACACAAACACTTTTACACAGAAACACTTTTACACACAGACACTTTTACACACAGACGCTTTTACACACAGAAGCTTCTACACACAAACGCTTTGACACACAGACGGTTTTACATACAGACGGTTTTACACACAAGCGCTTTTACACACAATCACTTGTACACACAGACGGTTTTACACACAAGCGCTTTTACACACAATCACTTGTACACACAGACGCTTTTACACAGAGGCCGGCCCATGTACTCACAGCGAAGTCATCGTTGTCGTGGCCACCTCAGCAATCCGACAGGGTGGTGTGGCGAAGTCCTATTTCCATGTGACTCGAAACCAGCATCTATAAACATGTCATGAGGGCTATGTGCTTTGGGGCCCCCCAACCAAGGTGGTTTGCCATCTCCTGAAAAAAAAAGTATAAACGGGCGGACCTGGCAGGCGGCGAACGTTTCTGGGCTGGGACACGCACATGTTACACATGTTTTTCTGGGCTGCTTTTACACACACATTGCCGCTGTCACACAGAAACACCTGTTACACAGAAACCCTGGTGCACACACACCATTTTACACAGAGACGCTTTAAGACACAAACCCTTTTACACACAGACACTTTTACACACAAAAGCTTTTTACACACAGACACTTCTACACAGATGCACTTCTACACGCAAACACTTTTACACACAAACATCTTTACACAGAAACACTCTTACACACAAACCCTTTTACACAGAGACACTTTTACGCACAAAAGTTTTGACACACAATGGCTTTTACACAGATGCACTTGTACACACAGACACTTTTACACTCAAACATCTTTACACCGAAACACTCCGACACACAAACACGTTTACACACAAACACTTTTACACACAGAAGCTTTTACACACAATCACGTTTAAACAGATGCAATTTTACATGCAATCACTTTTACACACAAACTTCTTTACACAGAAACACTCGTACACACAAACCGGTTTACACACAAAGACTTTTACACACAGAAGGTTTTACACACAACACTTTTACACAGATGCACTTGTACACACAAACACTTTTACACACAAACATCTTTACACAGAAACGCTCGTACACACAAACCCCTTTGCGTGCGAAAGGGTTACTCCAGCACACGAAAAATCGCAATTTTACCTCAGTTTTTGCCGATCGACCCTCATTTCGTGCGAAAGGGTTGCTCCGGCACAAGAAAATCGCAATTTTACCTCAGTTTTTGCCGATCGACCCTCATTTCGTGCGAAAGGGTTGCTCCGGCACAAGTAAAATCGCAATTTTACCTCAGTTTTTGCCGATCGACCCTCATTTCGTGCGAAAGGGTTGCTCCAGGACAAGTCAAATCGCAATTTTACCTCAGTTTTTGCCGATCGACCCTCATTTCGTGCGAAAGGGTTGCTCCAGGACAAGTCAAATCGCAATTTTACCTCAGTTTTTGCCGATCGACCCTCATTTCGTGCGAAAGGGTTGCTCCGGCACAAGTAAATCGCAATTTTACCTCAGTTTTTGCCGATCGACCCTCATTTCGTGCGAAAGGGTTGCTCCGGCACAAGTCAAATCGCAATTTTACCGCAGTTTTTGCCGATCGACCCTCATTTCGTGCGAAAGGGTTGCCGTTTCGTGACTCGCCGCCGGTACCACCCTCGGCCTAAAGAGAGAAAGATAAAGAAGGCGAGAGAGAGAAAAAGGAGAGAGAAAGGAGAGAAGATGTGAAGGTGAGAAGATGTGAGAGAAGGTGTGAAGATGAGCAGATGTGAAGATGAGCAGATGTGAGAGAAGATGTGAGAGAAGATGTGAAGATGAGCAAATGTGAAGATGAGCAAATGTGAAGATGAGCAGATGTGAAGATGAGCAGATGTGAGAGAAGATGTGAGAGAAGATATGAAGAAAGATGAGCAGATGTGAGAGAAGATGTGAGAGAAGATATGAAGATGAGCAGATGTGAAGATGAGCAGATGTGAGAGAAGATGTGAAGATGAGCAGATGTGAAGATGAGCAGATGTGAAGATGAGAAGGTGTGAAGATGAGAAGGTGAGATACAGACCCCCACTATTGGAAGAACCCTGCGCTCCGACGCTCTCGGGAAAAAACAGGTTCGACAAACAAGACCAGGAGGTGCAAGTTAGACGGTTCAGCAATCACAGTGTCCGGACAACCAAAAATTGGGGCCTCCCAGATCCCGACGTGCTCTATTTATGACTAGTTCAGGTGAAAGGCTTTCAACTTTCAACATTCTTTGGCCATTTATGAGATGGTTCGTCGATCTTGACCCATTGAAACATTTGCGATGTCCAGGTGGCCGTTTGTGGCTGGTCATGGGTTGTACCTCATCTGGGGTTTCTTTGGCTGCAACAGCGCAGAGCTGGTAGGAGCTGGTTCTCAAGTCATTTTACGGGGGTGATGACCCATGCCAACATCATCCCCCAAGTTCTTCTACCGCGTCAAGGCGCTTCAGGCCACTGTCCAGGTTCGCAACAACTACCGGGCAAGTTTCATAGTGTTTTATATAATTAGATAACAGCCAGGTAATATCAGACACGTATCTACTTTATCTATCTTATTTATCTTATCTATCTTATCTATTTTATCTAAGATATCTGAGATATCTAAGATATCTAAGACATCTACTGTAAGATATCTATCTTATCTATCTTACCTATCTTATCTATCTTATCTATCTTATCTATCTTATCTATCTTATCTATCTTATCTATCTATCTATCTATCTATCTATGTATCTATCTGATCTAATCTAATCTAATCTTATCTTATCTTATCTTATCTTAATCTAATCTAATCTAACCTAATCCTCATCCAAATCGTAATCCTCATCTAAATCCTAATCCTAATCTTAATCTTCTTAATCCAATCTAATCTAATCTTATCTTATCTATATAGTATTATCTAATCTTATCTAATCTGATCTAATCTAATCTAATCTTTTCCAACCTCATCTAATCTAATCCTGTCCAACCTAATCTAATCTAATCCTTTCCAACCTAACCTAACCTAACCTAATCTAATCTAATCTAATCTAATCTTATCTATCTATCTAACCTAATCGAATCTAATCTAATCGAATCTAATCTAATCTAATCCTATCTATCTATCTATCTATCTTTCTATCTATCTATCTATCTATCTATCTCTACCTTATCTATCTTATCTACCTTATCTTTCTTATCTACCTTATTTATCTTATCTATCTATTTATCTATGTATCTACCTATCTATCTATCCAATCAATCAATAAATCAAATCAAATCAAAGCAAATCAAATCAAATCAAACCAATCAAACCAGTCAATCAAATGAATCAAATCAAATCAAATCAAGTCAAATCAAATCTTAATCTTAATCTTAATCTTAATCTAATCTAACCTAATCTAATCTTAATCTAATCTAATCTTAATCTTAATCGCAATCTTAATCTAAATCTAAATCTTAAGCTTAATCTTAATCTTGATCCTAACCTAAATCTAAATCTAAATCCAAATCTAAATCTAATCTAATCTAATCTAATCTATCTAACCTATCTAATCTATCTAATCTATCTAATCTATCTAATCTAATCTATCTAATCTATCTAATCTATCTAACCTACCTAATCTAGCTAATCTATCTAATCTATCTAATCAACCTAATCTAGCTAATCTAGCTAATCTAGCTAACCAATCTAATCTATCTAATCAATCTAATCTATCTAATAATCTATCTAATAATCTATCTCAAAAACTATCTAATAATCTATCTCAAAAACTATCTAATAATCTATCTAATAATCTATCTAATAATCTATCTAATAATCTATCTAATAACCTATCTAATAGTCTATCTAATAGTCTATCTAATAGTCTATCTAATAATCTATCTAATAATCTATCTAATAATCTATCTAATAATCTATCTAATAATGTATCTAATAATCTATCTAATAATGTATCTAATAATCTATTCAATAATGTATCTAATAACCTATCTAATAATGTATCTAATAATCTATCTAATAATCTATCTAATAACCTATCTAATAATCTATCTAATAATCTATCTAATAATCTATCTAACAATCTATCTAATAATCTTTCTAATAACCTATCTAATAGTCTATCTAATAGTCTATCTAATAGTCTATCTAATAATGTATCTAATAATCTATCTAATAATCTATCTAATAATCTATCTAATAATCTATCTAATAATCTATCTAATAACCTATCTAATAGTCTATCTAATAGTCTATCTAATAGTCTATCTAATAATCTATCTAATAATCTATCTAATAATCTATCTAATAATCTATCTAATAATGTATCTAATAATGTATCTAATAATCTATCTATCCACCTATCCACCTATCCACCTATCTATCTATCTATCTATCAATCAATCAACCAATCAATCAATCAATCAATCATCTATCTATCTATCTATCTGTCTGTCTATCTATCTCTCTATCTATCTATCTATCTATCTATCTATAAACACATTCAGGAGCCAAGATGGATCATCCCTTGAGCCGTTTGTGGTTGACATGGTTGACAATTTCCTGAGGCCGTGGTGCCACTGGAAACCTCAGAGGGCCAGTCGCTTGCCGGGAGTGAAGGGCAGTCGACGTGATGCATTTGGGGTGACTGTTACCATTTGTTACCCATGACTCCATGACTCTCAATCTCTTCCTCGTTCTCTTTGTCACATTTTTTTTTCCCCCTCTCTCGCTCTCTCTCACTTCCTCTCCTGCTCTTTCTGCATATATACTGTACTGTATATGTTTTGTACATTTGCCATCTTCATTCGGACTGGCCAGGATTGTTTTTTGGGACTCGTCTGCTGCAAGTTGCGCACTTCCTTATTCTTCTTCCACCTGCACCACAGAGATTGGAACTTTTTGCCAAGGTTCAGCAAGGCTGAGAGGAAATACATTCGTTGTCGTTCTTGATGTTTTCAATAGTTCGAGGATTTAGCTAGCATACATACATACATGCATACATGCATACATGCATACATGCATACATGCATACATACATGCATGCATGCATACATGCATACGTGCATACATGCATGCATGCATACCTACATACATACCTACATACATACCTACATACATACCTACATACCTACATACATACCTACATACATACCTACATACATACATACCTACATACATACATACATACCTACATACATACCTACATACATACCTACATACATACCTACATACATACCTACATACATACCTACATACATACACATACATACACATACATACACATACAGTATGTCACACATACAATATACACATCTATATGCATCTACGTGCAGACATGTCAGGATAGCGATTAGACTTGTCTTGTTCACAGGAGGTTGGTCCATCCTCGTAGCTACAGGTTTTTCCAGCGCTACAAACTCGGCAAGAAGCTGGGAGAGGGCGCCTTTGGACAGGTCCGTTTAACGACCAGGCGCCCGGCAAAGCCTATGCTGTTGAGAACTATTTTCCTTTCAAAAATTCTATAAAATGGGGTATACCCCATTTTCAGACACACCCATTTGGGAAGCTTCTGGCCATACCTGGACCACCCAACTATCCACCACCAGCATTCTGGTGATCCCCGAGGGGGATACATCCCCAGAAAGGGGATGAGAATGGACAACCCCCTTACCATGCTATCCAGCTCCCCACTTCAAAAGCCTTCCAAGATGGGATTCCCAAGTCTCAGTGCACTCGAATCCATCGGCAGAATCGACGCCGGGGAGATGTATGCCGTGAAGATCATGGATGTGCGCAACTCTTCGGATGCGCCTCAGCCGCACATTTGGAGGGATGAGATGGGCACCATCCAGGCTTGGATCCTTTCTTCAACAGCTCTCCCTGGAAGTGGTGGATATTTTTTCTTGGGGTATGGATCCGGGCATGGAAGAAGTTGTTTCATCCTTTTTTGGGGGGTTATTTGGACTGAAGTGACATTTCAGCGAACATGTCCCAATTTGATCCATGTGGAACGTGCTCCCTCGTCCGCTCAGGATTCGAGGTTGGACTCAGAAATTTTGAGGCGCCGCTGGCGACATCTTGGGGTGACCCCTGTCCCACCTTGCCATCGCCAGGGAAGCGAGAAGCGAAGCTCGACTGCTGAGCGAAGTTTCAGGGCACCCCAATGTGGTTGCTCTGCCACTTGGCCGCTGATCATATGTTTGCTATGGCTGCTATGGGATGGTCATCAAAAATTGCCCTCGATTCAAAGGGATTTCCATGCTTGTTTTGGCTCCAGCATGGCAGGATGTGACAAAGTGCTGCCTCCTTTTATGATATGCGTGCTTTGTGAGACTCGCAGAGTCTTTGATCATTCAAGCAAAGCCTATGCTGTTAGTAAGATCCCGGTTTCTCCTGCAACCGAGGCATGAGACCTACCTGGAATCTCCAGGATTATACTACATGATCATGGAAAGGCCGCTCTCAAGTTGAATGGACAACGCTATCAAAGGCGTTAAGTAAGTTGTACGCACCTGTCAGTGGATTTCTCTCTTTGTATGATTGTCTTCGCCCTTTTACCACCTCATTTTTGCAGGCGTTCCATTTTATTCATGTCAGATTGGGTCATAAGGTGCTGATTGGGCCATGGATAGCCACGGTTCAAGCCGCACAGCGCAGGTGTTACGGTTCACTGATGGATAGCCTTTGTGACATGCCAAAGCTGACCGAGGGGCGGCTACGGCGCATGTTCCGCAGCTTGGATCTTTCTGGATTCGGACGCCGGTTACGCCGTACGTTGCGTTCCCCCGGAATTGGGGGAATGGACTCTCCAGGAAAGTCATACGGTAAATATCAGTAAATCAATAATAAGCTTATAATAAGCTTTGACAATTTGATAGCACGAAAATGGACCACCTGTAAGAGCTGAGACTTTCCATTCCCTCCAAGATTGAGGCCCCAGCAGAGGCCGTCCACATTCAGATAATTTTCCCATTGAAATTGATCCATTTACGAAATTTCCCAGCCAGTCATGTTTGATGACACCGGCCGGTTTCCATTACGATTCCTGTACTTTGGCCAGCCAAGCTGAGGACAGATGCTACTTGGCATTGGGGCATGTCACGATGCGAGGATTGTCCACAGAGCTTTGGCTACTCGCGTGATGGTGGGGCTGGGATATGATTGGAGCGCAGTCTTTGGGCATTTAAAGGCATTGGAAATTCCAGGGCACTTGTTCCAGGGCACACAGATTTGGGGTGATAGGTTGTGGACATACACGTGCCATAAACATGATACACATGAATCTGATATGAGAATCTACGACAACCGACGCCTCTCTAGATCTGCCGTGCCCAAAGGATGCTCTGGAGCGACTGTATCCATGCGATAAGCCCCGCGCTGAGGAGATGTGAAACTGGACAATTTTCTTTATGGCGGGCTTTTCCAGGACACCAAAGTCAAGCCGATTCCAAGATGCGGATTTTTCCATCAAAAATGCGGGTTTAAGAAACAAAACTCGGGGACCAAGCTTGGGGGAAATAGTGGGAACATGTGGTAAATATACCGGGGGGATTTGGATATTCTTGTGGCACCGCATATACGCTGATCATACACATGGCATATCAATCATTAGGATCCGTTTATTTGATCATGTATAGCGGCCGAGCCCTGCCCGACTACTCACCCCATATATAATTCACGAGACTCTGCACAGGAAGCATGGTGCACAGCCGGTTGCCAGGAGACCATCAAGCTCTCAGATTTTGGTTTGGCAGTCAAGCTTGGAAAACGTGGTTATGTGAAGGGTGACCTGCTTGCAGGGTGTGATGTGGGAATGTCACTGTAGACCTAGGAAACGGAGATAAAGGTGCGAGAAAGCAGTTTGGGCTCTAGGTAGACCTTGGGTGTGTGGTTTAACGGATGATTTTGTAGCTAATCATATGGCTACATCATGCTATATCTACCTATATGTATACTGTATATCATATATATCATATAATATTATATATAATGATATATCTATATACTTCCACACGCACACACACATATATATATCATATCTAATCTATTCTAATCTAATCTAAATCTGACCAAACTCCAAATCCAAATCTAATCCTAATCCTACATAAACTCCCATCCCATCCCATCCTATTTCAGATAGATGAGGCTACTCAAGGCCAGTGATGGCTTGGCTGAGGTGTCTCTGGTACAGCGCCATACATGTCTCCAGAGATGTTGGCAAGAAGCTGGGACTGCCGAGGTGTGGCAGGTGCCAAGGGGTTGCTACACACAGATCCCCTTTCTATTTGTGTTTCAGGCCAAACCCTTAGAAAAGGCCAACAAACAAAAAAAAAAAAATCTATCTATAAGAAATTTAAGAAATCTGGAAAATAGGATTGTTGGTTTGTTTTAACTTGCCATAGCAGCAGGGATATGGGTTCTGACTACTAGCTGACATTTGGATGGTCCTCTCAGTGGTCCGGGGCCTTGGGCCTTTCCCGAGATTCTGAGGAAAACGATACACGACACAGACAGATGTTTGGTCGTTTGCATCTACGGTGTCGCTTGGCGCAAACACCTCATCGGCCGTGGGCAGTTGCCATCGAGAATTCCTAGTTGCATTTGGGTACCCTGCAGACTGCAGACCTGCGGAACATGATCAAAACCGGTCCCAAAGGACCCAAACCATTTTGTGAAACTTAAAGTTCTCCCTTAGCTCCACAGGTTTTGATTCTTTTCGGTGACACTCTTGAAAGGCGAGCCATGGTGTTCGTCACCCGCCTGAAGGTATGTGATACTTTATGGCGATGTGCCTTACTGCCCTTCCGAGCCAACAGCTGCGTCTGTGAAGAAGGCTGGGCTGGGACGTCATGGCACTGGCATCTCCCATGGCACAGATTTGCTGGTTATGTTTGGTGTCAAAGATCCGAGATTTCGGAGCCAATGCTGTTCAAGATTAGTAATCTGCCCGTTCAAAACCACAACCATGTAACCATGTGAAGAGATTGTGTAGCAGCCGAAGGGGTTGTAGCCCAACACTGGCCCAGTCCGCAAATTTGCTTCAATCAGGAACCCTGTTATCACTTGGTGATGAACGATCACCTTGGATATGCAGTTGTCGTTGTAGTCATAATCCCTCACAACGGCATTTCTGCATCTGACAGTAGTGCCCCACTTGGACAGCTTCAAAGCATGTCCAAAGGTTTCATTCAGCATGTAGATCATGTAGTTTCGTTGTTTGCAGCACTGCAGAGCAGTGTTCAAAAACCCTTTTGGTCGGTGATTACAGTTATATACTACCATGTGCCATGTGCTACCCAAATCTACCCAATATATTCAGAATTATCATCAGCCACTTTGGGATTTCCTCTCAACCAACCAAAAAAACATGGAATGATCGGGGCTGTGGGACTGATTGCCAGGCCATTGTCAATGCTCATCCTCCGCCGCAGTGGGCGCGGAATGCGAAATTGGCCAAGCACTACCAGCAGCCTTCCTCAGGTGGCTGCTGAGGATGGAGATGGATGGACCAAACTTGCAACTTTAGTGGATAAAATATGAACAACTATGATCAAATACCATGACATGATCAATCAGTGGATTTGGGATTGCCCCATTTTCAGACAAATCCGGATCACATGTATTGGCAGTGGTTGGATTCCCCCATCTGAACCCCCCAAACGCATCCGCAACTGGACATGAATTGAATCTACCTCCTAACCTGCCACGCAGGGGCAGAAACCTTCTGCCGCTATTTGTTGCCTGGCATGCCACGAGGAGGGGTCCTTCATGATCGCTCCAATTATAAATGGCATCCCTGCATATAGACAGACCAGGAATTTATTCATTTTTTGGATCACTTTTGCAGCTCTGATGCTGAAGCTGCTGGCCAAGGCTGATCAGAGATCCGGCAGAGCGCCCCACAATTTCTGATGCGTTGAACCACCCTTTCGTAGAGGCACGCGGCGTGGAAGAAATGCTGCCCCTCAGAGTTTGGCAAATGTTCGAGGGTAACTTCTGATTCAACCGCTTGGACAAAATATTACAAAATAGTTTACCTGGACAACTTGCGATTCCTTGGATCGAAGTCCAGTGTCTGGTTCCTGCTAGGAGCAGGAGTCCTCCGAGCCTGAAGATGAGTCGGAGGCCAGGATGAGTTCTGCAGTTCTCAGCGGGGCTTGCTGACATTGCCTTCAAAAATGCTTGCTTGATACGGTTTGAGCAAGGGAAGGAGTGGAACACGAGAATGGAAAGACGAAGAGATAAAATGAGATAAAGATAGATAAAGAAGGAACTAGCAACACTATTATGAACGACCGCAGCTGGTGCCGCGCCTACTGCCACACGGCCACGTACAGGGACCAAACATGTGCAAGTCCGAAATCTTGCGAATCCTCTGACATTTCCTAAGTGGCTGCTTCCAACCTGCGGGGCGTGTTCCAAGTTCCAACCTGCTGTATCCTTTTGTATCAACCGACCAGGAGGGTTCGCCTGTTATTGAAACAGCCGGCGAGCGGGTGAGAACCATCACAGACATGCAGCGCACTCAGGGGCTCGAAACCAGCGCTGAAACCAGCGCAGAAAATTCAAGCATTGTGTACGTTTAGGAATGCGACCCAATTCCATTCACTTTGTTTTTTTGGCTTTCAACTAACACTCCGATTTTTTGGGCACCCATGCTTTGACTCGTCTCCATGACGTTGGGGTTTGGATCATGCTGGGATCCCAAGGTTCAAGCCTGTGAGAAAGCCAATTATCACCAGAAACTTGGACGAGGCTGGGCATGTTACTCTCCATGGCAACCTTGGACATGTGCAAAAATGTTCCCCGAAATAGATTCCTCATGTTTCATTCCAATGATTTCCGATTATTCATCATTACTCCTGTTCTTGATTAAAAAACGAATAGGTTCCGAACAAGAATCTGCCCAAGATACCAGTGGATATTCCCAAAGACATTCCCAAAGACATTCCAATATGTTTTCACCCAAAAAACCAACATCAATTCTCAATAGAAAAACATGTATGTCCAGTATGATGGCCAGAATTTCCCAAAGTCTATTTCCGAAACATATCACACACACACATATATATATTATATCTATATATATATATTATATATATATATATCTATGTCTATACCTACATCGATATCGATATCGATATATATATATATTATATTATATTATATTATAATTATATATAATTATATATACATATATTATTTACACATATTTTAGTATAATATATATTGTGAATGATATATGTCCCCTAATGGCCCTGTGAAATTTCAGGTGCTGGAGCGTTTGGAGCGGGCAGGGCCTCCGTTGCCAGCGAATTCTGGAACCTGGGAGCGCGGTGTTTCTGCAGGACACTCGTCCGGGGTAAGTTCGGGTCCCCTTAGGGAGGGCAACGGGAGAACAGGAAATCCCTGGGTAGATGAAGGCAACTGATATAAATGAATAAATAAATATGTAGATATGGCAGTGTGTCAAAACCTATTAATACCATTTTTAGGGGAATGAACATCCATTTACCAGCTATTTTGATGTTCATCAGGGGTACAAGGTTTTGACACACTGCCATATAAATATATGCCCATTGGTCATGACGTTTGCGAACCGAATGTCACATTTTTTTTCCAAATAATTGAACTAAATGCGAAATTTTCTGTAGCTAAGTTGAATTACCAGAGGATAAATATATAGATATATTCATATATGGGTAGGGGTCAATACCTTTTGTATTTTAGTATGTCAAAGTTGGGGAGATGAACATCCATTTAACATAGAGGTACCGACATGCACACACGTAAATACATAAATAAATAGATAGATAAAAACAAATGCACACACACACACACACCGATATATATATATACATATTTATGTACATACATACAGATAGATAGATTGATAGAGTGCTGGGTATAGTATATACTAGTAGGATCTAGTAGGTGCCAAAACGAGTATAACGTGCAATTGCAAGATGTATAGATAGATGCATAGACAGAAAGATAAAGGGATCAAATCAATGAATAAATACATAGATACTAGTAAGTAAAATGTACATACAGGACATACATACATTGACATAACATAACATTCCATTCCATTTGTTCCTTTCCTTGCCTTTACATTACATTACGCTACATTACGTTACATATGCATATACTTGTCATGAACAGATAGATGCATTGCTGCATGGATCTTGAAGATATGCGTCCTTCGTCGTCCTTCTTACCTTGCTCTTCTCACCACTAAATCAGCAGCACTTGGGTCGTCCCATGAAGGCCTGCCCTTGATGGGCTGTATGGCACTGTATGGCACTGTATGGCATATACACATGCATTCCATTCACTGTTGGTGAAGCATCCCCATGATTGTTGGTTGAAATGGGCTTTCACATGCTTTAACCGCTTTAACCCCGATTTTCTTGCTTCATCTGACTTCATCTCCCCATTTTCATTGGCCAACCTGCCCCTGGTTTGCTGGTTAATATTCCAGCTTGCAAATCTATCCACATGTTCCGTTTATTGTTGAGGGTGTCACCCCCGATCTCTCCTAGTTCACTGGACCCACACAGTCCTATCAGCTCCTTGTTGACAAAATATATCTGTTTTCTGTTTGCTGTTGAGGCTTCCAGTCCATTTTTGTAAACAGATGTCCTTGTTAGGAAATAACTTCATGAAGCAGCTTGGTGAACATATCATTCACATTATTTATGTCTGGAATATCTCTACAAATCCTCTTTTTTTGGTTGTCGTTTTTTACAACCTCGTTTCTGCATATTTCTGCTACGATCCCCCGGTCTCCCCGCGATGGCGCCAGGCCGGTGCTTCACCGAAGAGATGCCGCCGCTGGAGCATGAAGAGCAGGCGGCTGGTTAAGCGCCCAAGAGTTGGTATTTCATCCCTAAAAATAGGGATATTAACCACCAAAAGCTGGTAGGAAAGAAGCAGAAGGAAGCTTTACCTAGAAATAGATACAACATGATACAACACGGAGACGTGACGGTCGCCATTTGGCTATCGGTCAAGAGATTCTCAGCCCTGAGGCCCACCGAGTGGCTGTCCAACTTGAACAGCACCCGCTCTGCGAAGTTTCTGTAGTAATTCAAGACTGATGGAGAAGTGAATGCTGCTCATTTCTACACGCATATCTTATGAACAACTACATAATATGTGTACATACACAATCATACACATATGTATATGTACCATGCGCACACACAGATTACATACATATACATAGTGTTACTGTTACATACTGCTACATACTGTTACATACTGTTACATACTGTTACGTACTGTTACGTACTGTTACATACTGTTACATACTGTTACATACATGACATTGCATTACATGACATGACATTACATTACGTTACATTAATACATTAATACATTAACACATTAATACATTAATACATACATGCATACATACCTACGTATGGACGTACCTATGCGCGTAGAAACGAAACGCGTAGATTCGCACGCTGAACACATTCTATGATTTGATAGCTCGCAGCGCTGCAAGGCCCGCACAGCTCTTTCCCAACGTGCCTTGGCACCGGTGGGTGGTGGTTGTACTTCGCACGGGAGTTGTAGCCTCCGCCATCAAGCCCCCAAACTGACCACCAGGTTCCCCTTGATTTTTTGCTTATCATATCTTATTATGATTATGACACTATTATGACCATGTTCAACATGTTACTAGTTTGGATGGTCACCCACTTGAGCATTTCAGACCCATCCTTACCCAATGCTGCTGCCAAGGGCGAAAGGCCAGTGTGGACCAGCGGATTGTGCTCCAAAGCAACTGGGCTGGAAGATTTTTGGCAGTTGCCCGATGCGATCCGATGGCGAAGAGGATATCAACTTTGTTGCCAACTGAGCAAAACCATCTGAAAAGTCTGAAAACAGCTGGGACTTTAGAGCTCCAGGTTAGTACGCAAAGAAATCATGCTTTTGTCATGTTTTATCCACATGTATGTAGATTATATATATAATTATGTATATATATATATAATTATGTATATATATAATTATGTATATATATAATTATGTATATAATCATACATATATATATATATACATACACATTGAATCTGCGCAAATAAGCAAAACACACACGTACGAAACTTAGATTTCCAAGACTACCAGCCTGCTCTGAGATCAACCGCCTGAGCAAAACCGCCGTAGCTACACGCACTCTGGCGTCACAGTCAGTCAGGCGCAGGGGTTTGCCCCGCAAAGGGAAAAAGGGAAGATCGCTGGATGATCTGGAAGGAGAGTTACTTATGAGTGTAATTCGGCGGTTAACGAATAGAGGGTCCCAGACAACAGTGGCTACTGTATTGTATACTAGTAGATATGCTTAGCTGATATGCTTGGGGAAAAATTGAAGGAGGAACTTTCGAACATATTTTGAGAACAAAATCACAGATTGCTGGAACTTGCAAGAAGCGTCAGTTTGGAGAATCGCCGTCGGATGCCCATAGTTTCACCCACGTGCCACGAATCTGGCACAGAACCATGGCAGTCAAACAAGGACTATGGTCCAAATCTACGCCGCAATGGGTTTTATTTTATTTTTTGATATATGCTGCATGGCAGTATAAGGAAATATAAGGCAGGACATTTTGCAATCCCCGATGTTTCTAAATGGTTGGTAGATAATCACACCACCTACTGTGGTGTTTTCGAGATTGAGATCCATTTGTTGCTTGGCAGGCCCAGTCCAGACAGGATGAACCTCAAGGGATCATACCGGCCACATGGAAGCACCCAGCAGCTTGGGATATTGGGATGGGGCTGCTCCCCAGACTGGAATCCCTCTCCTGATCCATGTTTGTTTTCTTTCTAGGCATGGAATGTGATATGGCATTTGTGTATATGATATGTGTGTATATATCAAAATATACATAAGTATAATTGAGTTATATATATATATCTCTCTCTCTCTCTTGGGGGGGAAGAGTGTGCATATAAAGAGTCATTGAGTATGTGCAGTAGGCAAAATCACACACAGAATGTTTGAAACGCAACCCGCCTGTTTCTCATACAACATGTGCTTGCATGAAGATGCATGAAGTAAATACTTTCTTTTTTATTCTCTGTATCAGAAGTAATTTTCGAATTGCATATATACATACATACCTACGTACATACGTTACGTACTTGGGTGCATACACACATACACACATACACACATACACACATACACACATACACACATACACACATACACACATACACACATACACACATACACACATACACACATACATACATACATACATACATACATACATACAGACAGACACACACACACATACATACATACATACATACATACATACATACACACATACACACATACACACATACACACACATATACATTACATTACATTACATTACATTACATTACATTACATTACATACATACATACATACATACAGACACACACACACACATACATACATACATACATACATAGATACATAGATACATAGATACATAGATACATAGATACATAGATACATAGATACATAGATACACAGATAGATACATACATACATGCATGCATGCATACATACGTACATACATACATACATGGATACATAGATACATAGATACATAGATACATAGATACATAGATACATAGATACATACATATACATAGATACATACATATACATAGATACATACATATACATATATACATACACATACATACATACATACATACATACATACATACATACTCCCGTGAAATCTTACCTCTGGATTTTTTTTTTTGTGCTATGTTAGTGTTTGGGTTTTGGGGCTTGGATGCAACTAACCTAGCGCTGGGAACACATCGCTTGATATGAAGATTTTTCAACTAACCTGGCGCTTCTGAAGCATCAAAGAGGCTCGAACCCGAAGTGCTGTGTTAGTGGTGTTCGGTTTTGTGCGGGGCACATGTCGGACGCCGCTGACGTGCGGACGGCTACTATGGATGAGATACAGCATTTGCTGGCTCAGCCTGGTGACGCTTCATTTGATGCTGAGGACTGAATTTACATCTGTGGTGTATTCCAACTGCATCAGGAGGTGTGCCGTCAGACACTTTACATTATCTTCCTTCAATATATATCTAGATATACTTTACGAGACTTTGACTAACATAGCATCCGATGAGTTGCCTTGTCTTCCTTCAATATATATATATATATATCTAGATATACTTTACGAGACGTTGACTAACATAGCATCCGATGAGTTGCCTTGTCTTCCTTCAATATATATATATATATCTAGATATACTTTACGAGACGTTGACTAACATAGCATCCGATGAGTTGCCTTGTAGGAGTCTTTGGAGCAAGCAATGGCTGCTGTGATGGAGGAGCAGTACCCACACGTGTTCGGTTCTCCACAGGCTTGGTTGTCATCTTGAAATACGCTCAGTGCAATTAAATTTACAGTATGCCAGTTCCTGCCATAGAGATCATGTGATTCCATAGAAATCCCATGTTTTTCCATAGAAATCCAATGGAACAAAGAACTTGAAAGGATTTGAACCAAAACATCCATTGAAAAGAGATGCTAACCTAGCACCTGGCTAAGCATCACAGGCAGCGCGGATCCGGATCACGGGCAAATCGCCGCACTCAGCCTCAACCTCGAAGAGGCGGCAGAAATGCCTGGGCATCGGGTGGATCGACGGTGAGCCCTACGTTGATTTCTGGCCGGGTGACCGCTTGGCACCAGACATGTCGACGGCGAAGCGTCAATCCGTGGTGGAAGCTGCAGGATGGTGTAAGAAGGTGTGGTTTTTAAACAAGGGAAAATTGGCGGATGCCATTTGCCTGCTATGTTAGTGCAAGGCCTCCAATCGTATATCATTTTAACAAGTAGCCAGATTAGCAACATTGACAAGGAGCTTTTCCCCACAAAGACCTCAACAAGTGGCTACTTCTTAATAGTTTTACTGACACGTTCATGGGTTCCAATTAATCGGTTGGGTTGGAAAATACACAACAATATATATACGGGTACTAACATAGCACCCAGAAGACCTGATCAGACCTGTGAAACGCCTCCGCACTGTTGTGAGGCACCAAAGGTGGCATTGGCAGAGGTTGCGAAGATCAAGGATGGCACCGGGTTTTGTCCAGTGCTGGGCAGTGGGAAAACGCTCCAAGTCTCATCTGGCTTCAGCGGGTCACTGGTCTGCAATTGAAAACGACTGTTTATAACCAACGGAAAACTAACATGGCGCCATTCGATAACATAGGTAAGTACCATCAGCGATCAAACTGCATGGGGATATAGTACTAACATGGCGCCCATGGGACACACCACAGGTTGGACGCCTCATCCCGGGCATGCGAGATCTTGGAGAAAAACGTGGACGGCGCGGTGAAGTTCAATTTCGCTCCTCGGCTCAAATTTGACAGACTTCCAACAAGGACTCACTAACATGGCAGCAGCCAAGGTATCCGTGAACGACTGCGAACCAGAAGTCCAGAAGGGCATCCTGCATGATCCATTCTTCCAAAATCACTGCGTGTTTCAAAATGTGCCTCGTCAGCACTAACGTGGCAGCAGTGGTGAGGGCCAGCATCCTTATGAATTTCTTTAAAAATAATGATCAGATTTCGGGGAACCCATGTACTGTGATTACCAAAAAGTTTGGGAAATTGACCTACTAACATGACATTGCAGCGCAGCCCGTTTCTGACTCGAGCTTTCCTAGCTTAGCTACCAATGGAGGACATATCGGCGGTATTGTTTCTGTGGGTGATACCTATGCTATGTGGGTCGTTGATTACAATGGTGTTTCAGCTATGCTGCTTCAAACGCTGCTGCTGTGGTGGTTTTGCCCAATCGTCATCTGGCTCAGTGAAAAAGAACGGTGTGGAGATCAAAGATGAGGGTGCTGCTGTGTGCAAAGCCAAGCAAGACGACAAACGCATTTTGTCAAATTGCCGGTTGTATGTGGGATCTACCGGCCAATGTGTACATAAGAGTCCAAAATGTTGTGGAATGAAAAATCCAAAGGAGCTCTGCTTGTGCACCAAGTGCTTTGGGTAGCTGGCCACATACTGTGTCCACAAGCGATCAAAAAAGCTGTTTCTGGCTGGGGGCAGTGAATAGCCCAAGAGGAGTAGACTAACATAGCATCACAGATCCCAAAACACGTCCGAGTCCCATTGCATCCGAATGTACCCAAAAAGCAAATCATAACAAGTCTTGAAGAGAAACTTCAAAGCATTTTTTGTTGCACATCTACTATATAACACGGTTGATTTTGAAACTTTGGTGGTCCAGCAAGGGTAGGGCCCACAAAGACATCCTGAAACAGAAATGGCCCAGAGCTAGGAATGGAAACAACAATGCTAACATAGCAGCCACAGGTTCCTGGGTCCTAATGTTCCCAATGATAAGTCATTCAGTAGCCAAATGGGGCAAGTTCAATGCATATTATTTTTAAACCAATGATGTATTGTAAAACGTTTGATTCTGAATCTTTTTTGGATCCAACAAGGGTGGGGCCCACAAAGACCTCAAGAAGTAGCTATGGCTATGCCTAGTTTAGGACACCAATGGCGAACATAGCATCCCGAGCCCACTCGAGGCCTTGGACGTTCTGGACTCGAGCACGAGGAAGAAAATGGAGGCCGCACAAGGTGTTGAGGAGATCCTTGGGGTTCTCAACGAGCCCACAGTTGTGTGGCAGACGCACGCCAGATGTTTGAAGCATCCCTTGGAGGTGAAAGGCTGCAGACTTCCATCCCACATGGATTTAGAACCTCATCATGATTTCAAGTACTGTATTTTGTGTGGAAGTTGGGAGGAAAATGTTTCAGATACTATTTGGATGCTATGTTAGTTATCCATCGTTATACATCCTCTAATCTCCAACTGAAAGTCTGCCCAGGACATGAGCGGTGTCTCTTGCAAGGACGATAGCAGAAGTGGCAGCATGAAGCAGAACAATGGCGACGGAAGACGAGCTGCCCTTACTCACTGGAGGAGAGGGTTGTCACACCAGTCCAAGACATGCTAGCCAGATATACACTCGATCCTGCATAATCCATGGTTCATCCAAGTTATACTGTGCTGTATATGTATGCATCTAAGATATGGTTTCCACTGTAGGCTGGAATGTTTTCCTATTGCTTACATGGCTGGGATGCCATGTTAGTGGTCTCCATGCTCTTCTCTTCGACAGCCTGACAGGTATCAGATTCACTCGAAGACAAAGCTGTGCGTTTCTGAGAATGTGGTGACTGGTTGTGTCCATCGCCTTTGCACGGAGACCTTTGCAAAGGGAGGATACAGCATGAGAATCATCCACACATCGCCGGACGATTCTGGCTATGGGGCAGTAAAGCGCTACCGTGGTTGGACTGGGACTCAGTGGATCCCAGTGGCAATAGAAACAGCAGGTCTCCTGAAACCAGAATACTCTACGGTACCTACCCCCGGGAAAACTAACATAAACCTTGAAAATGATGGGATTGAAGATAAAATGATTTTCCTATTAACTATGGCTATTGGCAGGTGCTATGTTAGGTTCCAGAGGGTACTATCTCTACTGCAGGATATGCTTTCAGCATTCATTGCCGAGATGTGCGCAAACATGCACAAACTAAACATGATGAAACCGTCCCCAGACCGTGTACTTTAAGGACATTATCCCTTCGCAAAGGCGCTGGCCGGTGGATTGCGAATCCACAGGACATCTACGACGAAATGAAGAAGGAGCTCAGCCAATGCCAGGTACAAATCCCAGATCTCTATTGGTGTGAAGACGAAAAGGAGCATCTTGGTCAAAGGTTACACTACATATTGGGGGGTGTCCAACTAACATAGCATCCATCCCACAATCACTTAGGTACATACATCAGCTCCTTTCAATTTCAACACTTTTTGCAGTTTTCCATTTTTCAGAGATATGGCTCATGAAAGGATGTGAATGGTTCTAGAACCAGTGCTGTGCTAGTAATCAGGGTGTTGTGGGGGCGTGCATAAACTAACATAGCATGTGGCAGTCACCGAAATGCAACCAACAACTGACAAATCAAGTGTACTGTTGACATGCAACACAATAATGCCACACTTCTCATTAACCTGGCGCCCAGGTTGTCTGCGGAGCGGAAGCGGTGCGCAACGAAGAACAGGCCAGCCACCTTGACCTTCTCGCAGCTTGTTCGCAAGTGTGTGGTAGGAGAAATCTTTGTTTACGAGTATTCCAATGATTGTTTGTGAACGACACTATACTAACATAGCAATGCGACCACTTCCTCAGGGAAATGTTGACCCCCAACGACCTGAAGAACTTGGAAGCTTGCTGGCAAAAACTTGACAAGGACCTCGAATTCGTTTTCTTGTTTTTAAGAGATCTCATCCTGTGGAAATGCAGAGGAACACTAACATAGCAGCCAACAGTGTGTTGATTCCAAGCTCCTAATGGGCAGGACCCTCGCTTGAAGAATGACAAGGAGTTCCATGTAGCTGTTCCACAACAGGGTGGGAAATTTTCCAAGTGCACCTCCGGAACGAGGAGCTGAAGGGACAACAAAATTGCTTCATGACTGTATCTCAAACCCTTGTACTGGTGATCTTAGTGGTTGAATGTCTCGACCCTAAAAAGCGTTCCAATTCTGTTTGCGGTTTGAATTGAACACTTGAAAACCCTGTAGATCATTGAGCACATTTACAACGATCGATTTGCAATGGTCAAGAATGAAACAGAGATGGTTGACCTGCCTTGAGAAATTGAGTGCGATGGGCTTTGGGGTGCAACCAGAGGTTGCTTCCCAGTATGGCACCGAACCTCGACTTGAAAGTGTTTACCCTCTGGTAAACTAACATAACTATGGAAAATCACCATGTTTAATGGAAAAACTCACAGTAAATGGCAATTTCTAATAGCTATGTTGAATTACCACAGGGTAAGACAAAGTTCTGGTGCTTACCGGTACTGTATGGTTAGTAGGTTTCATGATCCCTCCCAATGACCTAACATGGCGTCCAGTGTTCTTTCCCAGATGAGCTATTGAGGATGTGATGGCATGGCGACACTGGAACAAGCTGCACGAGAGAATAGGCAATTCTCAACATGTTCCGAATGCAGAGCTCCAGCTGCATTTTTGTCAGGGCAATGGAAAACCATATGGATGAAAAATGTTTCACATACTGTATATTGTAGTGCTGCAGCACGGTACTAGTGTTCCATTTTGTCAAACTTCTAGGTTGTGACGTGGCGCTATGTTAGCCATAACTTTTCCAATTCAATTCTGTTCTGTGAGGCAATGGTGATACTGGCCACACTGGCCTCGATCGAGCTGTTCGAGGATGCAGCTCTGCCCCCATGCTTGGACCACAAGTACAAGATCATCAAGGTCGCCCCTGACGGGGCTTGTTTTTGGTCATGCCTGTGGCTTGCCACGCAAGCCACGATCGATGAGATTGCATCCTGGTACATCCGACCGCGGGGTGAAACTGGGTTTGCCACAGGCACCATTGACAGCCGAAGGGAATCAGTTGTGGTCTGGACGTGGGTTTCGGGCTTGAAGGACATGCCACCAGACTGTCGTGAACGATTTGGAAGACATGCTTCTGCAGAGGAACCAGATATTGTGGCTCCGCTTAGAACGGGTACTGCGCATGGCATTTCCTGACATAGCATCTCACAAACCTACAAATGTTCCCAATAGAATCATAATCATCATGGCAACATCGACCAGACATCGACCAGCAGTTTTTTCCTTATTCAATTTATTACTGTACTGTATGTAAAATTGTTGATAAAAATGTATAAATGTCATGGTGGGGATCGCACGAAGTAAAATAATTGATTTTGAAGCTTTTTTGGGCCCAGTAAGGGTGAGCCCCAGGAAGACATCCAAAAATAGTTGTGCCAGTCATGATTTTCAATCCAAAACCAAAGTTTTGGCAACAGGACTACTAACATAGCATTTGAGCAGGGTTCCCAAAACTTGCAATTTTCCCGTCCCTAGTAGTAGTAGTAGTAGTAGCAGCAGGAGTCGTAGTAGTAGTAGTAGTAGTAGTCGTCGTCGTAGTAGTAGTAGTAGCAGTAGCAGTAGTAGTAGTAGCAGTAGCAGTTGTGCCAGTCATGATTTCCAATCCAAAACCAAAGTTTTGGCAACAGGACGACTAACATAGCATCTGCCCAGGGTTCCCAAAACCTCCAATAGTAGATCATAATCATTAGTTCAGCAAGTAGCCAGATTGGCAACATCGATCAGGAGTTTTTTTCCTTATTCAATCTCTTATATAAAATTGTTGATTTTGAAGCTTTTTTGGGTCCAGTAAGGGTTCACCCCACAAAGAGTCACAAAGACATCCAAAAACAGTTGTGTCAGTCATGATTTCCAATCCAAAACCAAAGTTTTGGCAACAGGACGACTAATATAGCATCTGCCCAGGGTTCCCAAAACCTCCAGTAGTAGATCATAATCATCATGGCAACAAGTAGCCAGATTGGCAACATCGACCAGGAGTTTTTTCTTATTCAATCTCTTATATAAAATTGTTGATTTTGAAGCTTTTTTGGGCCCAGTAAGGGTTCACCCCACAAAGAGTCACAAAGACATCCAAAAACAGTTGTGCCAATCACGATTTTCAATCCAAAACCAAAGTTTTGGCAACAGGACTACTAACATAGTGTTTATCAGCCTTTCCACCAATATATGGTTCCAAAAACATTCAATCGTACTTCATAGTAGCAAGTAGCGAGATTGGCAACTTTGACCAGGAGTTTTTTCCCTTAATCTATTATATAAAATTGTTGATTTTGAAGCTTTTTTGGGTCCAGTAAGGGTGATGATGATGATGTACTATTGGAGGTTTTGGGAACCCTGCGCGAATGCTATGTTAGTAGTCGCCTTGGTCTCACAACGTTTCCGCCAACGCGCGCGCGCGCGTTCGCGGAAAACAACTCGGCCAGGCCCGAGGACTTCGACCCCAAAACGGGGAAGACACAACGGGGAAGGAGTCGTTTTCCGCTAACGCGCGCGCGCGCGTTGGCGGAAACGTTGTGAGACCAAGGCGACTACTAACATAGCATTTGCGCAGGGTTCCCAAAACCTCCAATAGTACATCATACTCATCATGGCAGCAAGTAGCCAGATTTGCAACTTTGACGAGGAGTTTTTTTCCTTATTCAATCGATTATATAAAAATTGTTGATTTTGAAGCTTTTTTGTGCCCAGTAAGGGTGAGCCCCGGGAAGACATCCAACAACAGTTGTGCCAGTCATGATTTTCAATCCCGAACCAAAGCTTTGGCAACAGGACTACCAACATAGCATTTGCGCAGGGTTCCCAAACCTCCAATAATAGTACATCACAATCATCATAGCAGCAAGTAGCCAGATTGGCAACATCGACCAGGAGTTTTTTTCCTTATTCAATCTATTATATAAAATTGTTGATTTTGAAGCTTTTTTGGGCCCAGTAAGAGTGAGCCCCAGGAAGACACCCAAGAACACTTGTGCCAGTCATGATTTTCAATCCAAAACCAAAGTTTTGGCAACAGGACGACTAACATAGCATTTGCGCAGGGTTCCCAAAACCTCCAATAGTACATCACAATCATCATAGCAGCAAGTAGCCAGATTGGCAACATCGACCAGGAGTTTTTTCCTTATTCAATCTATTATATAAAAATTGTTGATTTTGAAGCTTTTTTGTGCCCAGTAAGAGTGAGCCCCAGGAAGACATCCAAGAACACTTGTGCCAGTCATGATTCCAATCCAAAACCAAAGTTTTGGCAACAGGACGACTAACATAGCATCTGCCCAGGGTTCCCAAAAAATTTTCCCGTCCCTCCAATGCGCGCGCGCGCGCGTTGGCGGAAAATGATAGTAGCAACCTTTGCGATTTCATCCGCTGTCGTTTTCTGCAACACGCGCGCGCGCATTGGAGGGACAGGAGACTTTTTTGGGAACCCTGGGCAGCTGCTATGTTCGTCGTCCTGTTGCCAAAACTTTGGTTTTGTATTGGAAATCATGACTGGCACAACTGTTTTTGGATGTCTTTGTGACTCTTTGTGGGGTGAACCCTTACTGGACCCAAAAAAGCTTCAAAATCAACAATTTTATATAAGAGATTGAATAAGGAAAAAACTCCTGGTCGATGTTGCCAATCTGGCTACTTGCTGAACTAATGATTATGATCTACTATTGGAAGTTTTGGGAACCCTGGGCAAATGCTATGTTAGTAGTCCTGTTGCCAAAACCTGGTTTTGGATTGGAAATCATGACTGGCACAATTGCTACTGCTACTACTACTACTACTACTACCACTACCACTACTACTACTACTGCTACTGCTACTGCTACTGCTACTGCTAATGCTACTGCTACTGCTACTGCTAATGCTACTGCTACTGCTACTGCTACTAGTACTACTAGTACTACTACTGGTACTACTACTAGTACTACTACTACTACTACTACTACTACTACGATTACTACGATTACTACGATTACTACTACTACTACTACTATTACTACTACTACTACTCCTCCTGCTGCTGCTACTACTACTACTACTACTACTACTACTACTACTAACATAGCATCTGCCCAGGGTTCCCAAAACCTCCAATAGTAGATCATAATCATTAGTTCAGCAAGTAGCCAGATTGGCAACATCGACCAAAAATGTATAAATATCATGGTGGGGATCACACGAAGTAAAGGAATTTATTTTTAAGCTTTTTTGAGTCGAGTAAGTGTTCACCCCACAAAGACATCCAAAACCAGAGTTTGGAAAACAAGAATACTAACACACATAGATACATATATATATATAATTGCTTATACACTCCTTTACATGTATATGGTCATACAAGCATAACATAGCATCTGGCTGTTCTTCTGAGGCCTGGGCTGCCAACACGTTGGGCGTTGGCATTTTCGTGCTGACTGGAGGTCTGAAGCAGGGAGCGCAAGCAACACAGGTCTTCAATGGCGATGCGACTGACAAGATCTGGCTGGTATCTCATCCAGTGACGGATGGGGCTGGACATGTGGCACCACACTTTTCTTTGGTCAGTAAGGAGCCTGAGCTCAAAATGTTCAAAATGTTCAAAATGTTGAAACTTTGTGACATGAAGTTGAAAAGAACACACTGACTGTAGTAGTGAATTTTTGGCGCCCTGTGGAAAACTAACATAGCCACTGAAAATGTTGGGTTTAAAGACGACTTTCCTATTCACCAAAGAAATTTTCAGGGGCCAAGTTAGTGGCAACCAGCCCCTTTCATTCCCTCGACTGCAACCCCTTTCCCATGCAGGCGGATTGGTATGATCTCCTGGATGATGACGATCCTATGGATCACGCTGTGGACAAGGACTGCAGAACATCAACAGTTCCAACCAGGTTTGCTACAACTCTGTATTCTCTGTACTGTGTGTTGTTCCAATCACCTTACTTTGCTACCTGGAAAATGAGATGATTTTCGTATTAACTATGGCTAGGGGCAGGTGCTATGTTAGTGTTCCACAGGGTATACATGCATATCAGGTGTAGAAACCATCTTGGCCACCACTTCAGGATTGGATCTGGATGCGGCACGGGCTCTACGAGTTGCATGATCTTGCCGGAACCAATGCAGCATCTAAGCCAGAGCTGCCGAAAGAGGAGGTGATTTCTGGATCCGGAGTGTTGGGGCATACCTATACTAACATAGCACCCCTGCACCCATACCAATGGGACCATGGGTCCCAATGTTTCCGTTGTTTGGGCACATTGTAAACCTTCAATTGGTTGGTTTTGAATCTAGCATCGAAAAATGTTTTCCCTTCGCTCTTCTTCACCCATGGGAGGCTAAGAAAGCTGTGACAGAGGATCTGAAAAAGGATGAGAACTATGCAGGGTGGGTCTCGTGTTTCTCTGAGAAGCTTTGGGAAGAGTATCAGGGGAAACATGGGGTGAGCAGCAGCAACCATGGACCCAATACGGTTTTCCAATTGAGCATGGCCGACCTGGATCCCTTAGAAGTCAGACAAGAAGATCCTCGCCCTCAAATCACCAACAGTTTCTCTTTTCTGCATTTTTGTTAAGATTACGATAGGGAGAGGCTAACATAGCATCCGCATACATTTCGGGATCCAGTCAACTTAGGATTTCGGAAATGATGCAAAGTTTACCTTGGAAAGTGTGTGCTTTTTGCTGGACTACCGGGATTCCGAAAGCTTGACGCTCCCGAGCTCAAACGTTCAAGAGCTACGTAAGGTTGCTCGAGGTGAATACGGATTCTCCGTAGCAAAGACCCAGGTGAAGAAGCACCTTCTGATTTCGATGTTGGTGAAACGGAAATGTGCCTTACTCATTTGATTTGATGGAAACAAAACACATACTGACCACCCTGCACTGTACAGATACTGTATATGGCTTGACATATTTTTTGCATGTGTCCAGCGGAACTTCCTATCATAAGGGGATAGGTGCTATGTTAGTAACACCTCTGTGTCTTTGAGCAACGTCAGGTCAAGAGCAGCTGGAATTGTGCAAGGAGAAGTACCAGAATGAGCACGGCCACAAGCACAAGGCACTTCCACCACCAACCGCAGATGCAACAGCGCTTCAGGATACAACGGCAGCATCAACAGTAGCAGCAGCAGACGTTCCAGGAGGTCCAGCAGCAAATGCGTCTTCAGCACTGGAACCAGCATCATCCACCCAAGCAGCATCAGGCAAAGCAGAGCCAAAGGATAAGGAAAAAAATGGGAAAAAGGAGAAAGACAAGGAAAAGCAAAAAGACAAGGAGCACAAGGAGCACAAGGAGCACAAGGAGCACAAGGAGCACAAGGAGCACAAGCAGAAAGACAAGGAGAAAGACAAGGAGAAACACAAGGAGAAAGACAAGGAGAAAGACAAGGAGAAACACAAGGAGAAACACAAGGAGAAAGACAAGGAGAAACACAAGGAGAAAGACAAGGAGAAAGACAAGGAGAAACACAAGGAAAAAGCAAACGTGGCACCAGCAGTAGCAAAAGCACAACCTTCTTCAAGCAACAAGTCGCTTCCTGCAATGGGATCCAAATCTGAGCCACAAACGCCTCCCGCAGATGCTATGTTAGTGGTTCCTCAATCGGTGAAAAAGGAGCCAGTGACTCCAAAGGCTCCCAAAGACAGCGAGGCAGCAAAAGCACCTGAACAACAGCAGAAGTTCAAGCGCAAACCAGCGAGCAATGAGTCAATCACAGCAGCAGCAAGCAAGGAAAAAACAAAGACTGGTACAGCAGAAGCTGAACAAGCACAGGATGCAGCAAACGTTGAACAAGCACCAGCAGCAGCAGGGAAAGTCCAGCAGGGCGGGGGGACATCAGCGGCATCATCAGCAGCATCATCAGCCCCAGCTGCCCCTGAAGCAGCATCCAGTTCAACAGAGGCTAACATGGCACCTGCCCAAGGAGAGGACCTGACTGGGAAACTACTTTTGAGATTGAAGCCAGGTGACAAACCCCCAGAACAGCCAAGCACCAAAGAACGGTACCTTGCATCCTCGATCGTCATTCCAGGAATTGCTCTGAAGAAAGCAAAGCAAGCAATGAGCCAACAACCTGGATCAGCCAACACACTTGTGGCAATTCTTGGGGAAGGAGAGTGCACATGCTACCGGGTGACGAAACCTTCGGTCGAAAAGCTTGTTATGGGGGACATCCAGAAGTATGGTTCACAGTTTTGGAAAAAAGTGTCCGACCACCTGAAAAAGAAATCAGCGGCTGTCGTCATTCTACCATTCAACTCGATATTCACCATCCAGAATGCAACTCATTTGACTTTTTCTTAACAACTGGTTTACTATGTCTTTATCTCCAAAGATTACTGTGGGATGCTATGTTAGTAATGGTCCAACCGTGATTGTCGTGATCCACTAAGGTGCTGGAAGAGCTCCCTGTGAACTCCATGCCGCAAGAATACATCATCCTAGTACAAATTCCAGCAGATGAACCACTGGGAAAGTCTGATGATGACTTTTGCAACACCCGTGTATCGTCCTTCAGCCTTGATGGGGAAATGGTGGCCGAGAACTTTCCAGCTTTCATTGTACCAAATGGAAAGCTAGGTACCCTGAAGGGAGGAATGCTATTTCTCGACGATTTTAGATCTCCTCTCAGCTCTGAGCAAGTTTCTGGTTTAGCGGTGGAATGCGCGCAACAAACCCTGGATCGTAGAAGGAGGGGATTGGTGTGGTTGAAACCAAACCTTTTTCAAATGAGTTTGCTGGCTTACTGTACTGTAACAATTTGGGATTGCTTACTGCACTGTGCTGTACTGTAACACTTACTGCAGCCAGCACTAACCTGGCACCCAACAGCCCACACACCGCCCATGCAGGAGCTCTGAGGAATGTGCGGATTCCAAAAGGAAAAAGCAAAGGCAAGAGGACCAGGAGTACATTCAGAACTTGCAGCAATCTTGTCAGGAGAGACTAGCAAAAAAAGCACATGATGGTGAGAAATTGGAGATATGGAAAAAGATCTTTCAGCGTCTTACTGCAGCAGATAGCAACAGAGGGGACAAACCTGAAGAGATGCGGTGGTGTGATTACTTCAAGGACCTAGTTCAGCTGGATGATTTGGACACTCCAAGGGCATTTCTCTCAAGTACTCTGGATCGGGAGGATGCAGTGATCCAAGTCGGGGTTTACGTCTCTTCTCTCAAAAAAGCTCTTTCAACAGCTTCTGTGTTTGTCGAGAGGTCGCAGAGGCAGGTGTTGAGAAGACAGATGAAAATCGAGAAAAGGGAGAACCGATTGAAGGCAAAGGTTGCACTGCACTTTCAAAACCCTGCAGAAGTTGAAGCACAGAAGGAAAAGAGGAAGCATCTTGGATGAACAGTGTTCTGGGGAGAGCTAACATAGCGTCCAGCTGCAAAGGGGCTACTATCAGCAGCAAAATTGCTCAACATCCAGGCCATTTCTTTGGAGAATATGAACTACTGTAAATAAATCTGCTATATACACACTTGTTGCTTTCGAAGCTTCTTTTGAATCCAGTAACGGCAACAGGACTACTAACATAGCATCCCATGGCCAATCCACCAATCTCACAATGGTTTCCAAAACCTACAATAGTAGATCACAAAAGCAAGTATGGCAACATCAACACGGAGTTTTTCTTTAGTCAATCAGCGGAGCTAACCTAGCATCCTGGACCTGTTCAGGAAACGAAGGAGGCAACACTGGCATAACCGGAAAGCACTTTTGAAGAAAGTGCCAGTGGCGAGAAGGCGAGGAAACTACAGGAAAACAATCGACGAGGGAAAGTTTGAAGAGGAATTGAAAACACGAAGGCGAACCATTTTCATTCAGCAGAAGCTGGAAGTTGTCAACTACTGGAAAAAGCTTCGGAAGGAAAAGAAGGAATGTGAGGAAACAGTCCAAGAACCCAGGCCTGCGATGGCTACCAGGGCTGAGTTAGTCAAGTTCTTCCAGGCCAAGAAGGAAGCCAGAAAGAAACTGAAAAACAATCTCCAGAAGTTATGCCGTGAGAAATTTCCAGACCTAGTCAGGAAATGTTCAGTGGTACGTTGGGTCAGGACTGCGGAGGAAGAGCTGTGGGAACAGCTACCTGATTCTATTAGGTCCAGATCTTGTGAAACCAGCAATGAGTGGAGAAGAAAGATTGGGGCTCCACTGAAAGGTCGAAAGGAAGGAGGCACTGTGCCATGGATCTTGCAAAAGGAGTTAGACATGCTGATGGTGGAGGCTTCAAGCGGATTGAGTGATGTCACAGAGAGAAAAGAGATGGTGACAGTAGAAAATGTTGTTCCTTGGTTGCATCAAAAAATCCAAACACATTTAACATAGCATACAAATGCTCACACCAAGTTTGTGCCCTCCGGATTTTTCCAAGTACAACTCTAAAAAGAAGTCCAAATATTTTTTTCAAGTAAAACCATGGCTAACCTAGCATCCAGCGGGCCTTGAGGCTGTCACCATATGCAGTTTGATCGATGACTGGAACTCGGCTATCCCAAAGATGTCCCAGCTGGTGCAACAGCACAACCAGGATGTCCGGGATCGATACGAAAGCGGGGAGCTATCTGCAGAAGCAACTTTGGCCTCCTTGGAACCAATCCCAGCAAAGTTGGAGCACCCTAGCGAGAGTTGGGTGAGGTCTTGGAAACGAATGTGGGGGTGGGCTATGTTAGCAAGAAGCAGTGATGATGCCAGCTGGCTCCCTTTTTCCCATGCTGACATGGAGATGGCTAGAATCGAAGTTGGGCAACTGATGACAAAACACAGCGTTCATCGGTTTTTGATTCTAAACTTTGACCAAGTATGGAGAAATTGTCGGTCGCTTTCCAAGACTCCCCTGTGCTACAAAGTCCGATCTCTTGCTGGACAACGCGCCAAGAAGGCCAAGGTTGGAAGTCGAATCGACAAGAAGCTGCACAGCATCCGCGGAGCCAGAAGATCCATCACAGTTTCTTGGCTAGACAGCATGCTAACATAGCATCCCTCAACAATGTATCTGATACTGCATGCATTACTGGACCGATTCTCAAACATAGATCTAGAATCAAAATTCTTATACCAGTCATGCATGCTATGGTAGTGCCTCCCAGGTATTTGTTGATGTGATCCCGATATATCCCGATTTTGATGCATTGTTGTGCAGGGCCACTGCAGGCTAACATATCGTCTGAATGGATGTTTAGCAGTAAAGACTATATTATGAACTAGTATGACATACTACATGATGCCAATAGCTATTGAAGAACCCCTAGAAAACAAGCAAAAGATTGCAAATCCATCCAGAAGCAGAATATGGGAAACATATTTACACTAACCTAGCATCCACGTGGAATTCGCCCACAAACTTATTGGTTTTTATGCTTTTTCGGGTCCGGGGAGGGTGAACCAGAGTTGGGGCAACTTCTTCTCCCAGTCGCACATGCTATGTTAGTGCGTACCAGGTACTGACCTCATCATTTTCAGATGGAGCCCCTGGCCCGGTTGCTTTTTGCTTGCCGGAAGGCAAGATCTCTCCTCAAGAGGCTCTGGCATTTAACCGTGCCAACCACGGCAGAGCATACGTTTTGACCAGTGGCACGGACAGTCATTTCATGACGGGTGAAGTGTTGGCAGTCCTTCTCGATCAGTTAATTTCCCCAGCCTTGGAAAAGCAAAGACTCAAGATTCTTGAATGTTCAATTCAATACTTTTTTGATCTTTTCATGAGATGCCTCATTGCAGCATCTTTTTTTGACACATGTTGCAATACTAACATGGCATCCAGTGACACTTTTACGACTTAGGTATGGGCTCAACAAAGAGGAGCACAGAGCCGCATTGCTGTGCGATGCCTGGACAGGCACATTTTCGACGGCTGCCGGCCTGGATCTTCGAAGGCCATTCATTGGATTGGGTTGCTACCCCTTGGAAAACTAACATAGCCTCTGAACATTGTGGGTTTAAAGATGTCTTTCCTATTAACCATGGGGGTCCCTGGGGCATGTTAGCTGTTAGTTTTCGAGAGGATACCGTTCCTGTATGGCCTTGCGAATCTTGATTACTCTGGAGAAACCATGTTAGTTTTAATTTCTTGGACTGGAAGCACACAATGTCTTCCACGCGGCCAGGGATCAATGGTATGCGGAGCACAACTGCCACCCCCCCAAGCGACAGCCGGGGGGGTGGTCGTCACATGGTCAACCAGTTGATCAGTGCCATTCGCAATTTAGACGAATCCTCCGAGCAAAGGACCTAGCTGCTACGGGCCAGACGTGCGACCTGCGGAACAGGGCGCGTTCCTCGATTTATCCAATCCGTCGATTCATCATCCGTTACATCACGTGTATATATATATATATCTCTTTCTATCAACTGTTTTATTTATTTATATATATATATCACATATGAATCATACATTGTATGTATATACTCTATTGTACATTGTATATATTTCAAATCTATACATCCATACATGCCTAATAAAATGCTCCGACTCAGGTTTCGAAACGCTGGATTTGCGTTCGAACGGCCAGGCTTGGAACCGAAACTGTGTGGCTGGTACTAACATCGCATCGTCAGCAAAAATTCAGACTGGCAGCATCGACAGCGAGTTTGTCTTGGTTCAATCTGGTACAAGATGTAAAATTGTTATAAATTGTTTATTTTGAGGCTTTTTGAGGATGCACTAAGTTAGGGTGAGCCCCACAAAGTCCAACACCAGCACTACTAACATAGCGTTTATGAGCCTTTCCACCAATATATGGTTCCAAAAACCTTCAATGGCGCGTGATAGTGGCAAGTAGCCAGATTGGCAACATCAACACAGAGTTTTCTCCTTATTCAACCTATTATGTAAAATTGTTGATTTTGAAGCTTTTTTGGGTCCAGTAAGGGTTCACCCCACAAAGAGTCACAAAGACATCCAAAAACAGTTGTGCCAGTCATGATTTTCAATCAAAAATCAAAAGTTTTGGCAACAGGACGACTAACATAGCATCTGACCAGGGTTCCCAAAAGCTCCAAAAGTACATCATCACCATCATCATCATCATCATCATTATCATCATATATAATGGCAGTAAGTAGCCAGATTGGCAACATCGATCAGGAGCTTTTTCCTTATTCAATCTCTTGTATAAAATTGTTGATTTTGAAGCTTTTTTGGGTCCAGTAAGGGTTCACCCCACAAAGAGTCACAAAGACATCCAAAAAACAGTTGTGCCAGTCATGATTTCCAATCCAAAACCAAACTTTGGGCAACAGGACGACTAACATAGCATCTGCCCAGGGTTCCCAAAACCTCCAATAGTAGATCATAATCATTAGTTCAGCAAGTAGCCGATTGCCAACATCGATCAGGAGTTTTTTCCTTATTCAATCTATTATATAAAATTGTTGATTTTGAAGCTTTTTTGGGTCCAGTAAGGGCTCACCCCACAAAGAGTCACAAAGACATCCAAAAACAGTTGTGCCAGTCATGATTTCCAATCCAAAACCAAAGTTTTGGCAACAGGACGACTAACCTAGCATCTGCCCAGGGTTCCCAAAACCTCCAATAGTAGATCATAATCATTAGCTCAGCAAGTAGCCAGATTGGCAACATCGATCAGGAGTTTTTTCTTATTCAATCTATTATATAAAATTGTTGATTTTGAAGCTTTTTTGGGTCCAGTAAGGGTTCACCCCACAAAGAGTCACAAAGACATCCAAAAAACAGTTGTGCCAGTCATGATTTCCAATCCAAAACCAAAGTTTTGGCAACAGGACGACTAACATAGCATCTGCCCAGGGTTCCCAAAACTTCCAGTAGTAGATCATAATCATCATGGCATTAAGTAGCCAGATTGGCAACATCGACCAGGAGTTTTTTCCTTATTCAATCTATTATATAAAATTGTTGATTTTTAAGCTTTTTTGGGTCCAGTAAGGGTTTCACCCCACAAAGAGTCACAAAGACATCCAAAAACAGTTGTGCCAGTCTTGATTTCCAATCCAAAACCAAAGTTTTGGCAACAGGACGACTAACATAGCATCTGCCCAGGGTTCCCAAAACCTCCAATAGTAGATCATAATCATTAGCTCAGCAAGTAGCCAGATTGGCAACATCGACCAGGAGTTTTTTCCTTATTAAATCTCTTATATAAAATTGTTGATTTTGAAGCTTTTTTGGGTCCAGTAAGGGTTCACCCCACAAAGAGTCACAAAGACATCCAAAAACAGTTGTGTCAGTCATGATTTCCAATCCAAAACCAAAGTTTTGGCAACAGGACGACTAACATAGCATCTGCCCAGGGTTCCCAAAACAATTTCTTGTCCCTCCAATGCGCGCGCGCGCGCGTTGGCGGAAAATGATAGTAGCAACCTTTGAGATTTCATCCGCTGTCATTTTCCGCCAACGCGCGCGCGCGCATTGGAGGGACAGGAAACTTTTTTGGGAACCCTGGGCAGATGCTAGGTTAGTCGTCCTGTTGCCAAAACTTTGGTTTTGGATTGGAAATCATGACTGGCACAACTGTTTTTGGATGTCTTTGTGACTCTTTGTGGGGTGAACCCTTACTGGACCCAAAAAAGCTTCAAAATCAACAGTTTTATATAAGAGATTGAATAAGGAAAAAACTCCTGGTCGATGTTGGCAATCTGGCTACTTGCTGAGCTAATGATTATGATCTACTATTGGATGGAGGTTTTGGGAACCCTGGGCAGATGCTATGTTAGTCGTCCTGTTGCCAAAACTTTGGTTTTGGATTGGAAATCATGACTGGCACAACTGTTTTTGGATGTCTTTGTGACTCTTTGTGGGGTGAACCCTTACTGGACCCAAAAAAGCTTCAAAATCAACAATTTTATATAAGAGATTGAATAAGAAAAAACTCCTGGTCGATGTTGCCAATCTGGCTACTTGCTGAACTAATGATTATGATCTACTATTGGAGGTTTTAGGAACCCTGGGCAGATGCTATGTTAGTCGTCCTGTTGCCAAAACTTTGGTTTTGGATTGGAAATCATGACTGGCACAACGGTTTTTGGATGTCTTTGTGAGTCTTTGTGGGGTGAACCCTTACTGGACCCAAAAAAGCTTCAAAATCAACAATTTTATATAAGAGATTTAATAAGGAAAAAACTCCCGGTCGATGTTGCCAATCTGGCTACTTGCTGAACTAATGATTATGATCTACTATTGGAGGTTTTGGGAACCCTGGGCAGATGCTATGTTAGTCGTCCTGTTGCCAAAACTTTGGTTTTGGATTGGAAATCATGACTGGCACAACTATTTTTGGATGTCTTTGTGACTCTTTGTGGGGTGAACCCTTACTGGACCCAAAAAAGCTTCAAAATCAACAATTTTATATAAGAGATTGAATAAGGGAAAAACTCCTGGTCGATGTTGCCAATCTGGCTACTTGCTGCCATGATGATTATGATCTACTACTGGAGGTTTTGGGAACCCTGGGCAGATGCTATGTTAGTCGTCCTGTTGCCAAAACTTTGGTTTTGGATTGGAAATCATGACTGGCACAACTGTTTTTGGATGTCTTTGTGACTCTTTGTGGGGTGAACCCTTACTGGACCCAAAAAAGCTTCAACATCGACAATTTTATATAATAGATTGAATAATGAGAAAACTCTGTGTTGATGTTGCCAGTCTCGCTACTTGCTACTATGACAATATATTGGTGGAAAGGCTGAGAAACGCTATGTTAGCAGTTCTGTATTCAATCCAATAATATATCTATTTTGAAAAACGGCCGATTTTCAATTTTTTTGGGATTGCCGATGCTAACGTAGAGCCTGGCAGGTGAACTCCACGGTGGCCAAATATCCCGAGATCATGAGCCTCACTGCTGATGCTTGGTTTGAGGTGGACGCCAGAACCTTCCAGGCCAGTTGGATCACAACTGGCTACTTTGAAGCCAGCCACTTCTTGGATGTGGCCAACACACCGGTGGCTAGTGTCGAGTCACTGGAAGAGGCACACAAAGTCCTTGATCCCACCGGACTGCTAGCCGGCACGGCACTTTCAGGCACTCCGCAGTATTGCACGACTTTTGAATGGAGGATTCAGGAGATCAGATGGCTACTCTGTGTCCATTGTTAACATGTCCATGTGAGTTTTGATGCGATATGTAGTAGTAACTAACATGGTATTCAACCCTGTAGGATGAAAAAGATAAAAACACCTGGTTGCCTTTGCCTTATGAGATGGCTCATGCCATAGTGCGTACTCTGTGCAGCCATGCACATCAGTGGAGATTAGCCCGGCAAGAGCTGCAAAAGCAAAAGGACCAGGACGCTTCGGGTTGCAAGCCAAAGACCATCAAGGCCCAAAAGGCTTTTGACTCACTGGTCAAGACTGATCGCTATGTGGTCATGAACAAGCGGACAGGTTGGTGTGCTACCAAAGATTGGCTTTCTCGACATGTCCAGCTTTCAGAGTCGGGGTACCCTTCACTGAAGAAGAAGGATTCGAAGTGTCAGATGTGGGTGCTGACCGTCCGCATCGTTCTCGACGGTAGTTCCTTGCGGGATCTGAAGTTCCAGGCTGGGCAAGGGAAGAACTTTCGAAACGTGAGATGCTTTGATCTCCCGAACGGCAAGTGGAAGTTTCATCTGACCAGCATAGCCAGTGGCTATGAGCATGTGTTTGGGAAGGATGGTGAACAGGACTGGGTCCCAAAACCGCCAAAGATCCAAAGGTACTAACATAGCATCCCACAACTAAAATAAAAACAATCATGGATCCCAAAACCTATTAAGTCAAATCGTTGATTTTGCGAAGGGTGAGCCCCATAAAGTCCAACCCATCTGTTTGGGAAGGATGGTGAACAGGACTGGGTCCCAAAACCTCCAAAGATCCAAAGGTACTAACATAGCATCCCACTACCAAAAAAAAGTGTCCATGGTTCCCAAAACCTATTATGTCAAATCGTTGATTTTGATCCTTTTGGTGGTCTAGTAAGGATGTATACTCTGTTATTGTATCGGATCTAGAGGGCCCTTTTGAGCCGCGTGTTGCGGAAACGGTTCTTTTGCATTTTGAATTGTTTCCAATTCACATGGCGCTACTAACATAGCATCCCCGAGCCTTTTCCGCAATTTCATCATGGTTACCACAACCTCCAATAGTAAATCAAAATAGCAAGTAGCCAGATAGGTAAAATCAATGCAGAGTTTGCCCTTGTTTATTCTTGCGGTTGGGAAAATCGCACAGAGTACCACTGCACCCCCACTAAGGTATTTTTAAAGTTTTCACAGTCGTTGAGACGTCCTCCGACTGTTGTCACTATGGCTCAAGATCAAATTGAATTGGCTCAAGGGCCAATCAACTGACTGGCTCAATACCGAGCCCAACTTGGAGTGAAAAGGAGCAGCAGCATCTGCCTCTTGGTGGGGACCTCCGGGAAGGGACTCGGCCTGACTTTAGAACCCGTGATTCTATTATGGGTCCAGTAAGGGTGCACAAGGCAAAGAGATCCAAAACAGGTCTGTTTTTCATTCCGAAACCAGAGTTTGCTGATGGTACTGTTGAAGAAATGCATCAGTTTCTCCGGGAAAACCAAATGGGACATGGTGGAAACCCACTAACATAGCAATAGGTGACTCATCCGGTCTTCCGAAGGAGCTGGATGGTGATGAGTCAGCACTCTCCGGCGATGATGCGGATGGGAATTCCGATGCTGAAAGCTGTGCAACAGTGGGGGACGAAGCGGGCCTGGAAGGCCTGGTTACCCAATGGAAATCTAGCATAGACCCTGAGAATGATGGGATTCGAGATAATTTTCCAACTAACCATGGCCATTTGCAGGTGCTATGTTAGTTTTCCAGAGGGTACATTATCTTACATAATGAATGCTGTAGCAAATCTTGAATAGCCAGGATTCGATGATAAATCCAAGAATATAATATATGTGTACATACAGGACATATAGATTGCAAGCGGTTTCCATATAATCGTTCCAAGTTCAGTCGGGGGTCCCTTACATAGCATCCGAGCAGTCAGGTCAAACAGCTGCGCATATGTCGGCTCTGCAGATGGATCCAGCTCCGGCAGCGGAGCCAAACAAACATGAACCCAAGGTGTGGCTTGGCGGTGGCACTTTCGGAGTTCCATACCAAGATACTGAGCCATTTGGCAGCGATGCTGAGATGGGTGACGGTGAGCCATTTGATGAGAATAACATGTTTGTATCCATCTCAAAGAAACATGTTCCTCCGTGCTTCTTTGAAAGAGAAGCGTACTGCACGCTAAGTAAGCAAGGTCTGTGTGATCTCCCGGAGTGTGGAGATTTCAAGTTGTCTTATCACAGCGTGTCATGTCAGTGGCATGCAATGTGGGGATCAAGCAACTATGCCCCGAGCTGGGGTAAGATCCGATCTGAAATCAAGGCGTTGCTCCTTGTTTTAATTCGAATCTGGAAGGAGCATGTGTCCACGCTTGCCGAGCAAGATGCTGCTCCTGCAAAAGAATATTTGCATAGACTCGAGTCCTACTCAGAGGACATTTCGTTTTGAATTTCGGGATACCGACATATATGCCATCCTAGCATCTGTAGGATTTCTCATATATTACGCTGTGTATTTGTTGGTGTGATCCCGAGATATACTGTATCCCGATCTTCATGCGTTGTGGTTGAGGGCCACTGCAGGCTAACATATCTTCTGAAGATGTTTAGCGAACTAAAATGACATGCTGCATGCTTGCAGTAGCCTGCGAAGAATCCTAGAATGCAAGCAAGCGATTGCAAATCCATCCCGAACCAGAGTACTAGGAACCATGTTTACACTAACCTAGCATCCCCGAGATGAATCTACAGCAAGCTCTGAATGATACCGTAAATCATGACAGCAGGTAGCCAGATTGGCCACATCCAAAGTTTTGGCAACATTTGAAGTTTTTTTGGTTCCAATAACGGTTACTGTGGTCATTTTAAGTCCAAAACCAGAGTTTGGGCAAAATCCCTACTAACATAGCATCCCCAAACCTTTCCACCAACCTGTCCATGGTTTCACAACTTCCAATTTAAAACAAGTTCTTAGGAATTGTTGATACTATTTGTATGTTTTCAAGGAGTGAGATAAAAGACCTGGTGGGTGGACTTGCAGTTGTCGAAAACAAACTTTTGGTTGAGTTTTGGATGACAGGTTTGGATTTGTGCTAACCTAGCATTGTGACGCCTTTGCAAGGGATCCAGCCTAAATGAGCCACTGTAAATGTCTGTCCTGATCTTCATCCATACTGTTCCGTACTTCAACCAGACTTGTTCTTCAGGGCAATGGAGGTCTACCTTCGTGTCCACCTTCTTGTTTAGCATAGACCTAGATACATCAGAGTTACTTGAAAACATATTCATACATACTGTAGACCCATGGTTTGTTACCATAGCCCTAAAAGACAATACTGTAGCATCACCCAGCCCGGACAGTGGCGTGATCAATTATGAGGCTAAACCACAAGTGATGGCCTCCACAAAAACCTGAGCATTCTGGGGTTGAGTGCAAAAACAACACGGGTCCGATGTGGTCGGCTGGAAGCCCCTAAGGGGACCTAACATGGCACCCAGGGGTAACTTTCAATTCTGATGATTGAACGTGTGGTTTTGATCTGTCAGGCTGGAGACCTCAAAGAAGACAACCTACCGAGCAACCAGGGGTACTTTCATTCTGGATTGATTGAATGGTGTGGTTTGATCTGGTTGGCTGGAGGGAGATGTGTTGGACGGAGATGGGAGAGACTCAAAAGAGACAACCTAACATAGCACCCAGGGGTACTTTCATTCTGGATTGATTGAACGGTGTGGTTTGATCTGGTTGGCTGGAGGGAAATGTGTTGGACGGAGATGGGAGAGACTCAAAAGAGACAACCTAACATAGCACCCAGGGGTACTTTCATTCTGGATTGATTGAATGGTGTGGTTTGATCTGGTCGGCTGGAGGGAGATGTGTTGGACGGAGATGGGAGAGACTCAAAAGAGACAACCTAACATAGCAACCAGACATAGCAACCAGGGGTACTTTCATTCTGGATTGATTGAATGGTGTGGTTTGATCTGGTTGGCTGGAGGGAGATGTGTTGGACGGAGATGGGAGAGACTCAAAAGAGACAACCTAACATAGCACCCAGGGGTACTTTCATTCTGGATTGATTGAACGGTGTGGTTTGATCTGTTTGGCTGGAGGGAAATGTGTTGGACGGAGATGGGAGAGACTCAAAAGAGACAACCTAACATAGCACCCAGGGGTACTTTCATTCTGGATTGATTGAACGGTGTGGTTTGATCTGGTCGGCTGGAGACTCAAAAGAGACAACCTAACATAGCAACCAGGATTACTTTCATTCTGGATTGATTGAACGGTGTGGTTTGATCTGGTCGGCTGGAGGGAGATGTGTTGGACGGAGATGGGAGAGACTCAAAAAGAGACAACCTAACATAGCACCCAGTGGGTACTTTCATTCTGGATTGATTGAACGGTGTTGTTTATGCGGTTCGGCTGGAGGGAGAATTGTTTGGAACGGAGATGGGAGAGACTCAAAGAGACAACCTAACATAGCACCCAGGGGTACTTTCATGCTGGATTGATTGACGGTGTGGTTTGATCTGGTCGGCTGGAGGGAAATGTGTTGGACGGAGATGGGAGAGACTCAAAAGAGACAACCTAACATAGCACCCAGGGGTACTTTCATTCTGGATTGATTGAACGGTGTGGTTTGATCTGGTCGGCTGGAGGGAGATGTGTTGGACGGAGATGGGAGAGACTCAAAAGATACAACCTAACATAGCACCCAGGGGTACTTTCATTCTGGATTGATTGAATGGTGTGGTTTGATCTGGTCGGCTGGAGGGAGATGTGTTGGACGGAGATGGGAGAGACTCAAAAGAGACAACCTAACATAGCACCCAGGGGTACTTTCATTCTGGATTGATTGAATGGTGTGGTTTGATCTGGTCGGCTGGAGGGAGATGTGTTGGACGGAGATGGGAGAGACTCAAAAGAGACAACCTAACATAGCAACCAGACATAGCAACCAGCCAGGGGTACTTTCATTCTGGATTGATTGAATGGTGTGGTTTGATCTGGTTGGCT